ATGTTCAACGGCAAAGGAGAAGCTGCGTGAAAGAATATTTCGATAAAATAGCTGGATAACAAGAGCATAGTGACGCACCAATTTCGATATGCCTGCTGTCTCCAAACCGCTTTGTGCAAGGCCGACGTCGGCCATGAGACGTGCTCCAACAACAAGGGCACTAGGAAGATTGATTAGTATAGATACCGCTGCCTGAATGCTTGTCCAGAAGCCAGCGAGAAGTTCATACTCATATCGATGATCGATAAGCTTCATATCAAACCAGGCCAGCACCCTTAGCTTGCGAAATGGTTTCCACAGCCGATACCCTCGGGGTTGAACAGAAGTGCCTCTTGCCCGACCACAGTGTAGCCGGACCTGCGATATGCTTCCGTGTGCAGCCATTTCCTTTTCTAACATGTGGAGAGAATATATGCGATTCTGTTTGACACGGCTGAAGGAGGCATCATGGTGGGATTAATATTCTCCTCAACAATGCAGACGGTCGCGAAAGCACTGTTACCGTTCGTTTCACCAACTAAAAGGCTTATATATCTCGTGTAAAGCGCTAGTCCTCCACTGGTTAACGGGTTTCTAGTTTCAATTGGATTCCAATGCAACGGTTTGTTTGCTTTTTAAGGCTGTCTATTCCACGCATAATGCTGTGCCCGAAATCTAGATGGAAAGAAACCCGGGAAGGCAAAGGAGAGAGATATAAAGCGAATGAAATGATCTACTGTGCGACAGTTGGAAATTAAAAGCCAACGGTCGCCTCTTTCAGCAAGAGCATGAAGAAGCTTTGCATCTCCAATCAAGGGTTGGTTTGCCGCGGGCGTAGACCGAGCCCAAAACCGTTGCTTCACGGGGTCGGCGATTTCGGTACACACTAGATTATTCCCTATCGGGTTTCTTGTGTGATCTTCGTCAACTGTTGGATTTTTTTCTTGGTTCCGTATGGGCTCAGCAACACTCTACTTTGAACTTCGACGGTCAGCCTTTGTGTCGGTGGTTGTAAGGCTACTCTGCAAAAATGCTTTGCCGAACTGTTGCCGGAAGTAGCCGGCTGTTTCATGACAACCTTGAGACTTGAAGAACAAGAATCACTGTGGAATCAGGGGGCAGAGGATGATTGGAAATTAAATATCTTTCCCATTCTGGGATATTTTCTTTGTGCATGCGGTCTTCGAGTGTACTTCAGTTTCCGACTCTTGCACCACCAAATCACCACCCACAGAAAATCTTTTGGCCCATCCCTACTAATCAGACTTGTCCATTGAGTTTCATTAACGCGAAAGTGGGAAATACAAGAATGAAAAAAGGGGGGGATAAGACAAGTTGAGAGGAAACGACGTGCGAAAAGCGAAAATCGCTTGCATATAAGATATGTCCTGTTCCAGCCCTTGAACCTGCTCATTTTCCTGAAGCACTGCAGATTCTTGAAGACAGCGATGATCATGATGTGCGTTTGTTCGTTTCTCTCCTGGTCTCACAGGAGGATGCAGCTGTCTGGCGAACAGACACCTGCACATATCCTTCTAATGCAACAAAAAAGGGTAGAAACAGCGTCTTACTGGCAGCCATGTTAATTTGGTTTGTCAACCCTTTCAAACCCAGAAGACGAAGCGTTTGGGCGGCCCTCCTGCGTCCAGAGTTCAGGCGACCATGAATCAAGTACCTTGCGATGTTGCGCAGACTTAGGTTTCTGATGCCGATTTATCATCGGCTAGTGGAATTATGGTGCCTTTACATCATCCGGCCACCAGAGTGAAACATGTATCATCAGTTGTTTACTAATATTTTTGCGGTGAATCAAGATCCCATCTGCCTCAATTATTATCCATTGTCTGATTTTCAGGAAACATACAGACTGTGCTCCGTAAGCAATACCTTCATGCCAGCCCTGCACCGTGCCGCTGCGAATTTCCTCGGACGAGGGTCCAAAATGGGGAAAGGAACCAATTAACAAGGGCCCACATTTAGTTAGGCTCGGAAGGCTCAATAACAATTCTGCAACCACCACAATGTGTCTATCGAAAACGTGCAGGGAGTTTTCTTAGAAATAAATCACGCACCAGAGTCAGAATAAGGATATCACACGTCACAGGAAAACATCAGAATTGAGAAATGGGAACTCGCTGCCAAGTTTTGTATGAATTTTTGCAAAACAATGAGTTGTTCCTCTGTCCCCGATCCTGTTGCCACTCGTCGGAGGAATCTTGCTCGTTTGAGCCGCTTATTGGTGGGTCGCGAACGCTTTTTGTCCAGGTTCCAGTGAGAGCCTTGCCGATTCTGACCACGACATGATGTCGATCAATGAGGTCAGCACGCTGCCTGGAGCTTGGTTTTTGAAACTATTCGGCGTGCTTGAACGGTGTGGAGAACTGAGAACAGCCTTCCAAGTTCTCACAAAGTGGACTTGGAGTAATCCAATCATGTTTTTCTAACAGTTTTGCTAAGTGACGATGCGAAAAGACCAGAAATGGCAGACGGAGCTGAAAAATAAAGCGATATTTTGATATTTAGAGGCTTGTAAAGAAAAACTTCTCGTATGGCCCGTATCATCTTCGTACATGGAACCAGCTCATGTTTACCCGACCAAACTATTCGGCCACCAGCAGCCACGCTCCCACGCTCCCATCCTTGTTTCCAGGCACTACTGCATGGTGCAGTGCAGATCTTATCCTAATGCCAAACGTTATCTAAGTCCTGGAGAAGATCTGACAAAGCGGGTTTTGTGGCGTCGCCAGGATTCTTATCTGGAGCAAGCTCCCCTTTCTCTTGGCTGAGACGAGGAGCTTGAATATCTATGGGTCATCTATTGGGTGCATGTACCCTTTCGCTTCGTGCCTGAGTATCATCATGAAGAATTCTAATCTGTAGAGGCCAGTATTTTCTGAGCTTTCCTTTGCAAAGCCACCAGAAGAATTTGCCAGAAATACGCAGTGTACTCCCAATATCGTCTGTGGATGTCATTTATCTGATAGGTTGTACAAGTTGCAGCAAACGAGAGCTAATTTACAACGAGGCTAGAAGATTGCAGCAAATGTGAAGTGTCCGTCATGCGTGAGGTGCAGAAACGAGAGATCTCATCGTATCTGTCAGAACAAACTCAGCAATGAAGGCTAAATGTTCTGATGGAGTTAGTCTCTTTTCCTCCTCTCATTTTAGGGGCAACAACGGATGGGGCAGTCCTCCGGAGGTGGATGTGCTCAATTTGCGTCGACTTCTTTGCTCCTTGATGGAAATTAATACATCTCAAACAACCAGGAAGGATCCTTCTCGACACCCAGCTGAACTCCAAGGATGATATCAGGCACAGCGGGAGCCAGCACATCCTGAATGTATTTTTGGAAGCTTTGACAAGCTGAAGAGAGCAGATCGTAATAATATGAGGAAAGTTTCCGGGAGTCCGGAGCATTGACAATCATCACCACAAAATAGGGCCACAGGGCTGTAAAAACTAGTACGAAGCCTGAGTCTGGGGAGAATTTTTCACTTGTCGCTTTAAGTCCCTAGCTCCGCGCTGGCCCTGCCTCCCCAGAATACGGAAATGAAAAGGGACGAGCTGGGACTAGGAGGTAGGATATAGCTCCGGAAGAGTTTTGAAGCTCAGGAAAGAAGCACGGTTGGTCAAAGCACAGTGCAAGGAGCTATCACATTTTCATAGCCTTAGGGGGCGTTTTTAGTGGTTTGGGGGCGTTCTTAGGGTTATCGATCGTCTTACTATCCCTGAGAAACACAAAACTCAACGGCATTCAACGCCATGGGGTAATATAAGTAAAGATCTGTAATGTTTCAATCGATTCGAGGCAGTCGAGAAAAGATGTTCGCAGTAGTTACGCTCACCGTTTTTTTGTTGCATCTTTCAGTGGGGTAGTGGCAGATTTTGCTTCCCAATTGACCACGCCATTACACTGTAGCAGGCGGCATTTGTGGTTGCAAAGCAATTTGAGCCAACTGAGTTCAAAGGGAGAAGACAGAACAAAACCGCCGTATTTTTCGTAACTGAGCTCAGGATTACTATGAACGAAAAGATAGTCAGGGGCATTTACGCCAGTGCGATTGCTCGGCGCGGCACCGAAAGCCGCAACCAGGGATAAATCCACGATACACATGCCCTAGCACTTCCCATGCTAACACTACTTTTGGTCCGGACAGGGCTCGGGGTCCCATCAAGCTCTGCCAAGTCCGACTTGCTGATGACTCGAATATCTCACTACCCAGCGCAGTAGTTTTCCTGGTCTATCAGCATTTACACATCCTGCGACGTGGACAGCCATGTTTGGAATTGGTTGACTTGTGTTCGAGAGCTCGAAGCTCAATGATAATGTCTCATTCCTCAGTGCATACAGTGGCGTACGCGCGAGGAACATGAGCCATGGGATCAGACAGCATGTCAGGATATTCTCTGCTCGGGCAAGTGCTATTTTTCAATAGTTTCCTGTTCAGAAACCGTGTATGTTGCTTTTCTTTTTCTGTTGCTTCTCAGATCCGATGGGTCCCAGGAGCCCAGTCAGAGCACGGGAAGTTCAGCCCCAACTGCTTGTGAACGTCCATCATTTTTGTTCTCGTTGCTGGGTATCAGGAAAAACAAAACAAAAGAACTGTACCGCGAATTTACAGCTGTGTGACAACTTGTATTTTTTATTGACTTGTCGTTGTGGGTTCTCTTGCATGATATCCTGCGTGTTGCATGTCCAGCATTTCCTTTTTGGGCATTTGGAAAAATTTCGGGTAATTGGGTTGTGGCGCACGCTGGCTCTCGACTTCGTACCGTCCGCTGGGACAAACGTCGTTGAACAAAACGGGTTTGGGGAGCGGCTGGCCAAGAAAATTACTTGGAAATCTCCTCCGTATCAGACTTCCAGTTCGGGTTCCCACAGGACCAGGGAAGAGCAGTCAGGGGGGGGGGGAGTTTCTATCCTGTTTATGCCTGCGGGAAAAGGGGCCCCATGGAATCTATAAAAGGGCCCTCCTCCACGGTATCAGACCCTTTTTCTTTCTCCCATCATCAGCACAATCTTCTTCCTTCGCTTCGAGTATATCCAAAACTACCACACTCTTTTAAACTCTTTTATATATAATTCTTAAATATCGTTTTTAATCCTTCCAACCCACCGTCAAAATGAAGTTCTCCATCTCCGCTGTTGTCCTGGCTCTTGCCGCCGTTGCCGTTGCCGCCCCCGGTGGTGAATACAGATCCCCCCAGGGTGACGGTGAAGTTGAGGTCAACCAGGTCACCAACCAGTGCGGAAAGGCTCAGATCTCTTGCTGCAACAAGCAAATCACCACTGTCAACGGTGGTGACAAGAACACTGGTCTTCTGGCCGGCGTTTTGGGCACTGTCGTTGGCAAGGGCAGTAATATTGGCATTTTCGACCAATGCTCAAAGCTCAGCGCCAGCGGTAAGTTCTGCACGTATCTGCCATCCGGAAGCGAATTTAACTAATTTTTGATAAAGCTCTCATCGGTGTCACCGACATCCTCAGCGGCAACCAATGCAAGCAGAACGTCGCCTGCTGCCAAGGCAACTCCCAACACGCTGTAAGTGTCATCTTAACGTGGCAGACTTGTCAACAAGTTCTAACACACATTGACAGGAGGGCTTCATTGCTCTTAACCTTCCTTGCATCCCCATTGCTGGCCTCTAAGCGGTTTCACCTCCCATCGTCTAATTTAGCTCTTGACCCTCGACTCCGGTTGTTATCTAAGGCGATGTCTCTTGGTCACTGGGAAAAAGACTTCTGCATGGCGATTTGAAAGTGAAATCATGAGACAATTCCAGTATTTTCGAACAAATATATATTCCATAGCATGTACAATATTTGTTCAAAAAGGCTTTCTCTTCTTTGTCTCTGTCTCTTGTATATGAGGTTGGTTTGGAGTGCATGGTAATAAGATCTGTATTTGATGTGTCAATTGTGATGTTACTGCAAGTGTGGGGATAGATATTTTTGGCCCTTGTATTTACAAGGTAGACTTGGATACTTAATGGAGTTTCGAAGTTTGCTGATTCAAATACCGCTCGCTTTCCCCGTGGACAATCATCTGTCCGTAACACCATTTGCGTTAACCTTGGTTCGATCACCCTTCATTCAGAGCAGTACATACCTTGAAAATTTGAAACCACGACTAATCCCGTTTCCAGCGCGGTTTTGTTCCAGCAGTAAGTCCGCACCTATCACCAATACCACAATGCGCGAATCGTGGATACCTCGTATCAACCCTGACTGCTGAACAAGGGTATCATAAAGCCCGACAGGCCTGATGTATAGCTGAAGGGCTAATGTCGTGGACTATCAGCGGTATGTCACAGATGCGCAAATTGGGCACAAATGCTCACAGTATGACATGTACACCACCCGTTTGTTACACGAGCATTACATCTGCGGGTGTCTTCCAACAATTTTCGCTGTTCACCCCGTGATTTGTGGGGTAGTTAGCCCATGTACATGACGGGAAATTTTGTGTTTGTTGTTACGGTGAGCAATCCATAGATATCGACTATGATTCGGATCAGTTCGATGTCGGTCGGTCGCCTGGTAGATTTGTAACAGGGTTCAAAATCGGCACTACGAAGAATTCATGAGATTTCCTTGACGAGGAACCTATAATTATTCTAAGCGGCGATAAACAACTGTGACTTGCAGCGAACGGTAATGGATAAGTGTCAGAATGTTTCACTGTGGCCACTTATTAACGGATATAACGAGAATACATACCTCGGAAGGGTATATAGCATCAGGAATCATACACTCGACCTCCTCTCCCCTGCACCAGGACGATGGGTAACTGCTATATTTCAGGATCATACTGTTGCCGGAGATTGGTTGGCTGCTGAATAGATTAGCAATAAGTGGGTTTGAAGGGCATGGTAACCAGTGCGCGAACACTGGATGTGATTGAATGGGATGGGGTGAGGGCGCGGGGAGGCGTTCTAGGCCGCAGAACAGTATGCTGGAACGAATATGATACACATGCTTGGAAGGAGGGGGGAGGTAAAGAGAAATTGTACGCGGCATATGTCTATTTCAGGAATCTGAACAGCCAGCTGCATTGGCTAGAACAAAGGTGGTTGAAATGCTTGGTGGAGTTGGAAGTAGTCGATTTCTGATGGCGCTCGTCGAGTACATATATTGCGTGGAAAAAGGGGTTGTGAGATATGCAATTCCAAAACGAATGATGCAATATCCCAAGCGATGATGAAGCCGCGAGTTGTCTCGCTCTGCGGCGCGCTGGAATTTTTTTTTCCTCCACGAGCCAAGAGGCCACTCCCATTTGATAGAATGAATGAGCTGATATTGTCTTTCCTTTTGAAACAAAATAAAAAAACCGCAGCGGAGCCTTGCTAAGCAAAGAGATGGTTGAGTAAATCAAGGATAAATATGTGTATTGCTAAAAAAGTGTTCTACAAACCCATAATAAAGACCCGATGATAGAATATCTTATTCCATCCACTGCTCTATTTGCCCAAAATAAAATCAGTACCGATGCATTAACAAAATCAAAAGTCAACAAACCCGCCCATAACCAAAAGGAGAGTTAAATGAAAAGTTGAAAAGGCAACTATGACTGTGAAATCACAGCTTAGCCGTTGGCGTATAGAGGTTGCTGGTTTTCGACATCGTTTCAACGGCTTCCTTTTCGATGCGGGTGATCAGCTCCTTGCAGGATGGGATATCGTGGATCAAGCCCATAACTTGACCAGCAGTCCAAACCTACATAACACATGGGTTAGCGCATTCAATATAAAGTGGCAGTGAGAGGAGTAAGTTTCGAAAACTCTGGATCCTGCTCCTCAGGTTGGCGGAAACAAGAAGACATGGGAGAGTACATACGCCGAAATGAATATCCCCATTGATGAATACTTCCCGTCCACGCTTGCCGCTGACATATGGTCCGATCTGTGAGAAGTCATCCGATACAGCCTTCTTCTCAATATTATATGCATCTACGGCAACGCGATTCTTGAAAAGTCGGGTGGTGTTTCTCCACTTCCGCAAGACAAGTTGGGTATCCTCCTCGCTGGCATCCACAATAGCCTGCTTTACCTTCATGTGAATAGGCGCCTCGATAGTTGCCATGAACCGTGTGCCCATGTTGATACCTTCCGCACCCAATGCCAGGGCAGCAGCAAGGCCATGTCCGTCCGCGAATCCTCCTGAGGCAATGAAAGGAGTTTTGAGAGTCTGGCGCGCCCGGCTAAGAAGGATGAAGTTTGTGATGTCCGTTTCACCAACGTGGCCCGCACACTCAAAGCCGTCGATGGAGAGGAAATCAATACCCAGTTTCACGGCGGATTTGGCATGCCTGATTGTGGTGCATTTGTGCAGGATGATGATACCGGCTTTCTTTAGCTGGGCAATGATTGGGCCCGGACTGTTGCCTGCGGTCTCGACGATGCACACGCCCTCATCGATGACCACCTGGGCGTAGGCGCTATAGTCGGGTGGAACGAGGGCTGGGAGAAGAGTGATATTTACGGCGAAGGGTCTGTTGGTCATTGTGCGGCATCTGCGGATTTCCTTACGGAGGTCCTCAGGCGTTGGTTGCGTGAGCGCAGTGAGCTGTTGGAGGGAACATGTTAGTGGAAGCTACGCTGGATTTTCTATAACTTTTGCTTCCTGAGATAAAACAAATAGAGATCGCTCTCATTTGTTTTACCTCTGACATTTTCGAACGGGTAATGCACGTACGATTCCCAGACCGCCAGCGTTGCTGACTGCCGCAGCAAGCTCAGCGTATCCAACCCATTGCATGCCACCCTGGACGACGGGGACTTGTAGGACATGGTAAGCTTGAATCCGCTGCTAAACCGCAATCATGGGACGCAACGAAAAGATGGACCTACCCGTGATGCCCAACTTGCGGGTAAGTGCGGTGTTGAATGGCATTTTGGAACAGGGCGGGTGTGAAACTGCCGGCCGAAACAAGGATCCCCTGTACACGTCTACTCATTCAGGGTAGAAAGCAGAGGAAGGCGATCTAGAAATTACAAACAGGGACGCACGACAAGAAGATATAAAGACATCGGCCGCTCCACACCCTTTCTGCAAATTCCTTGGATGAATGATTCTGAAAATGCGCACCTGAGCAACTCCAGGAACCGAGAGCCGAGGTCCAGAATCGGGTGACACTCACGTGCTGCATTTTTATGGAATCTTGGATGGACGCTACAGAGTATGGGTGATTTCCAAGTGGCTAATTTATCATAATGGGAAAGAAGATTTTACAGTTTGTATATCAGAGTTGGATTCCCTGCTGAGGAGGAGAGGAGGCCTATGCACTGGATTCCCCCACACTTTCTTCGAAGTTACAATATCACAGTGCTCCAGACGTTTGATACCAGTGGTTTCCGAGAGATCGGGCTTGGGCAAGAGGAGATGGTCGTAGAAACCCCATTCCATCATACATGCACAAGAGGAAAAGACACACAACCACAACCGGCACCCATGAATCCATTTCACGATGGCAAGATGTGAAATCCTATCCGTCATCTACTTGCCAACGTTTTTCAGTTTTGATTCGTGCCGTCTTATAGCTCATCATGTAACCCTGATATGAAACCCTCTTCTCTCATTGACAGAAAGAAATGGGCGATTAACGACGGGTCAAAGATTCCAAAAAAAATCTCTTCTTCTGAGGGAGCCCCGTTTCTCCATCCAGCAGTCAACGACAGAAAGCCGCAGCTATAAATGGGATGGTTCGCCTTGGAACATCTGTGTCATGCCATTCCACCACCTACACTGAGTGTGGTAATGGGTAAACAATGTAAGCTGAGGTCCTTGAGGAAGAAGAGAAGCAAAAGGAAGCAGGTGAAGACGCCTGAGGTTGGAATTACCTTTTAAGGGCAGTCAGCGGACAATCATTGTTCCGAGTGGTAATCGGCAGGTTTTCCCGGAACTATCCCGAAAATGGAATCTGAATCTCCAACTTCCACTGACGATTCCCTTGTCAGTTCCAACAATCGATATTGATCATTGATGGTTCGTTGGTATTGATTGCCAGACATTGAACTCCTTAACAACCATGCTACCCCAGAGGGTTGCCCAGCAGTCGGTGCGACGGCGTAAGTTGCCTGCTAACTAACCCTTGCTTGCGAAACAGTGCATTGTTGGATGAATGAGAGATGAATGACGATGGGAAGAAAACAAGATGATATCGGCTAACATCTCGAGATAGTTGTTTCACACAACCCTTCGCAAATAAGAACTGCAGTTTCGAAGATTGCTCGTCCTGTGGCTATTGCGACTGGCAACCATATCCAGACCAGGTCAGTTTGGCCCTGGAGTAGGCTGTGATTTGAGCGGGAAATGGAATCGGTGTTTTATGATAGCTACCAAACGGACACAACCACAGTCCCTGAGAATAGGAAGAGGGAACCAAAAAGTTAACTAACAATTAACACAACTTCCTGCCTCATAGATACACCGCCTCGGCCGCAAACCAAGATCCAACCTCACTCCTCCCCCAGCAGCGTCTCAACCGCCCTGTCTCCCCGCATCTCAGCATTTACCGGCCCCAGATAACCTGGATCCTCTCCTCCACGAACCGCATCACAGGTGTCGTTTTGTCTGGCGGCCTGTACATCTTCGCCTCCGCATATCTCGTCGCCCCACTTCTGGGGTGGCATCTAGAATCCGCATCGATAGCAGCGGCATTTGCCGGCTTGCCGCTGGCTGCTAAATTTTGCCTCAAGTTCGCCGCTGCGTTACCGTTCACGTTCCACTCATTCAATGGGTGCAGACATCTTGTTTGGGATATGGGGAAACAGTTCACTAATAAGCAAATTATTGTTACCGGGTGGACGGTTGTTGGGTTGACTGTGAGCAGTGCGCTTGCGTTGGCTTTTCTGTAACTTGGCGTGATGTAGTTATATGGGTATATAGGATAGGTTGTTATTATGCAATGGTGGCTTTTACCTTTCTTGTATCCCATTCGTTTCTCATTTCTCATTTCGTCCTTGCTTCTTCTCCTTGTTGTTTCACGTGGAGCTGAAGTCTGAAGATATTCACTTTATGTGTCCATGCTTTTCTTCTATGCCATTTCGGATATTAAAAAATTGTATAGTGTTTTGGATCTGCAAGTCAGCAACGTTGTTTGATATTCACCGGGTGAGTCTATGTGCATTAATGGGTGGTTATAGTTAACTGTTGTAACTGCATTCGGCACAGTAGATAAATAGGCTGAACGTAGGACCCCAGCGATTATTTCCATGAAGCATTATAATTATTCTAAAAAACAATGTTCCCCTTCCAAAGCTTGTATTATCTGGATAATGCCATGCAGCAGAGCAGCAATTGGGGGGATGAGACAAGACCTGATAGGAATATATGGTCTTCAGACAAAACGAAACTAAAGCGTCCCAGGGTACTGCCTTTATCGTTACAATAATTAACCCGCCTGCTCGATGGACTTGGATCGAACGAAAATTGCAAATTCGTCAGAAGGGTTGAACGCGATCTTGACAAAACAGTCACATATAGAGGGAGGGCGCGGGGAGTTACATTAAGGGCAAAACGCGTATTAATTTTCAAATAGAATAAATAAATAAATAAATAAAGGCAGAGCCCTTCTCAGAATGGGTTTTCATGGCACAAATAGAGGAAATGGAAAAACCTCCAACCAAGAGATTTGAGTTCACTTTTTGTATGTTCGAGGGTGTCTCCGTTGAATGCTGTAGATGTATCATTGTAAAACTGTTCGCCAGTTTCGGCAGAGTTGGCCAGGCCCATTCGAACTGCAAAAAGCAATGGCATATGGTTAGCTCCTTTTCTCAACGCTGGCTAACTCGTACGAGGTTGGATAGTTCTGGTTTAGAGGGTGTGAGGTACATGTAGAAAATCAAACCCGATCTTCACGAGCGAGTAAGGATATGGAAGATCGACTAGATAGAAGTAATAAAGTAGGAACAATAAGGCTGGTAGGGACTGGACCATTGTCACTAGATATGTAGAAAACGGGGTAAATGGCGTCATTACTTGGCCATCTGTTCGATAAGGGGCAAAATTGGGGAACTGACATATGTATTTAATGAGATTTGAGCGCCCAGGAATCAGACTGGACTTGGAGGAGGGTTCGGGGGGTATGGGAGGGGTGAGGGAGGGTCTTGGACGGAGTATACGGAGTGGAAGGAAATTTCAGCCAGAGCCGTGCTCAAGGGACATCTCCCAATCGAACAGGATGCACGTAGATACTGAGCGCTCGATTGTGGATGGAGTGAAGTGTCAGCGCGCGGATGGGAGGAGGGTCCACGCCGTTGAGAAGTCATTTGGGCGGAGATCGAAGGCTGTAAGCTGTGCAATGGAGACCAACCGGAGAGGAAGTAGTGAGTCAAAATATTTGATATGGCGGACTAGATGTGCGATTGTCATTCAAGAAACCAGTGAGAGAAAAAACGAGTGACAGACAATATTTTTGTTATTTGGCAGAAAGGCGGTAATGGCAGAAGTCCTCGGATGCGGATTCCACCCGCTTTTATACCAATTGAGTACATTGTACCCAGGGAAATTGCATGTCGATACAATAGGCGCCTGCGCTAGAATTCGCCATCATTGTATTCGGAAGCTGAAATCCATGAATTCAGTGCTTGATGCGAATTTAGAATTTTACAACAAAGGAGAGGTGAGAGAGGATCCTAGGAAACATGCAGGGGCCCGTCAAGGCATAGGTGGCTCCCGTGTGCTACTGGAGGGCCTGGTCGACTAGCCGCGCGATGCACAATCCGTTGGCGAAATGAAGAAATGCCAACGTCCTGAAGCCGAATCATCGAGGAACTTTCTATGCAAGTACAACGAGTGTGCTGGAGCCATGATTATCATCATGACAATTCACTTGTACCTCGTTATGTTTGGACTTAGAAGGGTGAAGTTATTTGACCAAGTTGACAGGAACTGATATACGACGGCAGAGTATATTATCCGCAGTATTCAGAAAGGTAGAGCTGGTATAGGCTATGAGCCGAGCCCCCGGTGTGACAACAAACAAGGGAGAAATGGGCCAGCGACATTGTATCCGAAAATCGGCTGAGGCGGGGAACCGAGCCGAAGCAATAATGCAATAAGAAACAAGGAGGGAGAAGTAGTGTAAAGAGTTCTATATAAAATGGGTATCAATATGCTCTACATTCTCGCCCTGTCTTGGGCCTCTTTGCCCGAGTTGCGATAGCTGAGTCGCACCGGAGGTGTTGATGATTGATTCAAAGTAGCCAGCCTTCAAATCCATTTCAGAGGGAAGTCTGAAGAAACATAGGAAAACAAAAACACAACAAAACAAGAGGAGCACTGTTCGAATGGGAGATCCCCATTTGACACGTGTTGCAACGATTATTCTCCAAGTCTCTTTGAATGGAGTTCAAAACCAAATCTTGACTAGAAATGCAAATTGGGCGCTGTCCAGGTGTGAATCCATCACCATCACCATGGTCCGATCAGTGAGCCTGGATTTGATTTTTATCGGCCTTAGTAGACGCCGATAAATCTCACAAAGCAATTTCTCCTTGATGCTAGTATTCATTCCACACAAAGATAATCGGTACGATTGACCTGACGGGGCGCTGGACGGGAGAGGCGCGATGGTCGTTCAACCCAGCCACCACTGGGCTGCAATTGCTCGGAGGGCATCCAATGGTATACCGAGGCTCAGACTATCTGCAATCTCTGTTTAACAGTCCGTCCGTCGATCCAATTTCACAGCAACGGGAAATATCAAAAGAAACTTGAAGCTATCGCTGTTGTCATTGTATACGGATCATGGGGAGGGTGGATTTCCCTATTAAGGTTAGCCTAGAATTGCGGAAAATCTTCCAAGCTCCGGCCTCAGGTCAAGAATCTCCAGTCGCGACCCAACACCGCAATCCCCAGAAACCCTTTTCGTGGATACGATTTTCCCTGCCACCGATGGCATCAAAAATACCGGGCCAAGCTTTCACTGCAATCTCGCGGCCAGGGCAGTGGCGTGCTTCATCTGCTGTTCTGTCAATTTCCTCACGATCCACTTTCTCTTATATTCGAAGACATGCTCTCTCCTCTGCTGCTGGCCCAGAGGGTTCAGAAACACCTACAATAGCCCGATGGAAAGTGACCCCACCGGCAATGAAGGCGCCAGTACGGTTGCGTGGGAGTCCGGATGTACCGGAGTTTCCAGTCAATTCAGACCCGAACATTCTCGATCAGTTCTACCTTCGAATGCTAGGGCCCGGCGGTGACAAGATGCTCACGGAGGAGGTCAAATGGCAAACCGTTACGCACAAAAGCTTTGATCAAGGACGAAGAGGCTTCAACGAGAGATTGTCTTACCTGGGTATGTTGAATGATCCGTAATTCCTTTCTTTGACATAGGATTTTGAGTGCTTATCTGCAATATTCTTTCTATAGGCAAGCAAATTGTGCAGCTTCAGGCTTCACTCTCCCTGTTGGAAGGCTCGTCCAGTGCTTCCCCGGAAAAGTTGGAGGATCCATACGGTCGGACGGCGTTCGAACATCCGTCTTTGCAAGGGTTGGACATTCTCACCGAAGACAACAAGAATATGAGGGTAAACCGAACGAAACTGGCAGAGCTCGCCCAGCAATATAAGCTACAGGAAGTCCTGAGATGGGTACCGAGATATGTACGAGCAGTCCCTCCAAGAATAAAAATTTTATCGTTCCCTGCATGCTAACTGTCCTACAGCGCAATGATCTTGCGGCATCCGGATTAGAAGTCGTTTTGACCCAGGCGATTTACGCGGTGGTTGGCGCCGTTGCGCTGGAGAAAGGGGGTGCGGTTGCGAACCAGGTAGCTAGGGATTCTATACTGAAGCCACTGGGGTTTGACGTCGGCATGCCACGAGAGACTCTATAGGATTTTTGTTTCCGATTTTTTAAGGGCACCGCATTTTGGACGGCGTTTGTATTGTGTATTTCTATTAGAATTTTTGCGATGCCAGATATCAATGTATTATCAGGGTTTCAGTTTACGGAGTATACCCTTCTTCTTCTTCAATTATACATTATCCTAGAGTATATAAACCAAAGACAGTCAATTTGTGTTCTTATCCAATTACCGTATGTTTGATTCCTCTGACACCGCCCGCGTAACCAAGAAAAATACACGGCCAGTTCTTATGGAGTCTCCGTTGTTTAGTCTTCGCACCACCGTATCGCAAGATCATCAATGGTGTAACCCGGGAGTTGAACCCTGACAGGAAGTCAGAGGCCAATTTACAGGAAAAATCATGACAATTTTTTGTGTTGACTTGCACTGTCTGTTGGGTGCGTGATTGAAAGAAAATAAAAGTTCATGCAAGAATTTTATATGACTGGTGCATGGCACTAGACCTGATTCGGCAGTAGTGCCACTTGGGCAAACGACGCCGCCTGCTACTGACGCGGGAAGGATGTGGAAAACAAATGGATATTTTGAACTTCTGAGAGTTAACAAATGCCCTCTTGGGCACCGTATCCTGATTTCCTTTCCTAATTTTCATGTCGCCTGCGATGGCTAAATAAGCCCGCACACTAGAATACCCTTTCCTGACTCTCCAACGTTGAACGCAAGCCCTTTGATTCCCAACACCGCATCATGGCCTCCGCTATATTCTTTCTGGATCTGAAGGGCAAGGTATGATCGATTCTAAGAAATTTCTAGCATACAAGCATACGGACATCCTTCATTAAGCGAATTCAGTATATTTGCTGTTGTGGGATAGCCTAAGCTTACACTGGCCTTCGATACAGACCCTCCTGGCCCGCAACTACAGAGGAGATATTCCAATGTCCGCAGTCGAAAAGTTCCCTATCCTCCTCAGCGAAGCAGAAGAAGAGAGCTCTGCTGTACCGCCGTGCTTTTCTGATGAAGGCATAAATGTGCGTTTATTCTATATTCTCTGCCATACCACGTTGCAATTCTGGAGACCCAACCCCTGTTTAGCTTGCTGGAGACCATTTTATATTTACTATATGATGACTCCGTTAGTATCTTTACATCCGCCATAGCAACCTTTACCTCCTTGCATTAACGAAACGGAACACAAATGCCGCGGAGATACTGTTATTCCTCCACAAGATTGTCGAGGTTTTCACTGAATACTTTAAGGAGTTGGAGGAAGAGAGTATTAGAGATAACTTCGTTATCATTTATGAATTGCTTGACGAGATGATGGATTTCGGATATCCGCAGACAACGGAGTCCAAGATATTGCAGGAGTATGTTAATTGCTATTTTCTGGTGCCCCGCGTTTTCGAACAACTTGGTGGACCCCGCATTACTCGCTAGCTCCTCTTCTAATGTCGGCTCCAGGTACATTACCCAAGAATCACACAAACTTGAGATACAGGCTCGACCGCCGATCGCTGTTACGAATGCTGTGTCTTGGAGAAGTGAAGGAATTCGATACCGCAAGAATGAGGTCTTCCTCGACGTGGTTGAATCCTTGAATCTCCTAGTATCTGCCAATGGCAACGTTCTTCGATCAGAAATATTGGGAGCAATCAAAATGAAATGTTATCTAAGTGGTATGCCGGAACTAAGGCTGGGTTTGAACGATAAAGCGATGTTCGAAACAACAGGCAGAGCAACAAGAGGAAAAGCCGTCGAGATGGAGGATGTAAAGTTCCACCAATGTGTTCGGCTATCGCGCTTTGAGAACGACAGAACAATAAGCTTCATTCCTCCAGACGGAGAATTTGAACTTATGAGTTATCGCTTAAACACTCAAGTGAAGCCCCTGATATGGGTAGAATGTCTGGTGGAGTCTCATTCAGGTTCGCGCATTGAATATATGCTTAAGGTAAACTGAGCCAAGGAAGTTGTGATCCCGCTTATTTTTTATCTGACCGTTATATTATATAGGCGAAAGCTCAATTCAAACGCCGGAGCACTGCGAACAATGTGGAGATTTTGGTTCCAGTCCCGGAAGACGCAGATTCTCCCCGATTCCGCACTAACATAGGTTCTGTCCACTATGCACCAGAGAAATCTGCGATAATATGGAAGATAAAACAGTTCGGTGGAGGGAAAGAGTTCCTCATGCGTGCTGAATTAGGGTTACCGTCAGTGAAAGGGGATGATGAGCATGGGGGCGGTATGACTGGTGGCTTTGGTGGTAGCATGGGAGGTGCTGGACAAACTGGAAAAGGCAAACGCCCAATCAACGTCAAATTTGAGATCCCGTATTTCACCACCAGTGGTATCCAAGTACGATATCTTAAGATCATTGAACCGAAGGTGAATATCTTTTCCTTTTTTGCTTTTTCCCCAGCCTCCCCACCTTCATCGGCAGGCCCAAAATCTCAATGCTCCAAATTCGGCCACCTGCATCCCAAGATCTTTTTTGCGATTCTATCACTGGATACATTGAAGCACCAATGTCTTCATGCCAAGCTTCCAGTTTAAACCCCCTACACGCTGCCCCCTACACGCTGCCCCCTACACGGTGCACTCCCTGCACTTTGTCAGCATACAGCAACATCCACCTCCATAACTGTCCACAAGAGACCCCCCACGTCAGCTCTCTGGTTGTTCCTGGTTGAAAGCCGACATCTAAAGCACTTCACGCAACTATACTATCTTTTACCTACCATACCCTGCTTCTCGTCCACCATCACCTTTCCCCACCCTTGATATGCTCATTTTTCCATCTTACACAAATGAAATATCTAACCAATACCATGTACTCTCATATAGCTGCAATACCCATCGCTCCCATGGGTCCGTTATATAACCCAGTCAGGCGATATTGCAGTTCGTTTACCAGACGTGCAATGACGAAACAATCCAACGCTACAATGGACGCAACATGACCGAAAACACGGACCCCACCTAGGCCTGCATAAAATGTGCGAAACGCATTACAGGATGGAATTGTGTTTTAACCTACTTTGCATTGGCCCGCAGGAGGGAGGGGGTACTAGTTCAAGGCTTCCATATAATTTTACTTGGTGCTTCACCCTTTACTTTTACTCGCAAGGACGAGAGGGGGCGTGATTTTTCACCTATGTCGACGACTATGTAGTTACGTGGGTTGGGTTAGTCCTTTACCTCGCGCTGCCGTGGCAGATTAAATATAAGAGATGACGATAATTTTTTTTTTCTTTTTCCTCCTTGGCAAACTACGCCTTTGTGTTAACTATGTGGAAATGGAGTAAAAGTTGTGAATTGGAAAGTCCTCATGGCGAGTATTTCTGGTGGTTGGAAGGGAATGGTGGGCCAGGAAGGAGGGGAGAGAGGTGGAGAAACATGCAAGACAAAAATACAATAGCCAATGAACAGTATGTGCGTAGACTAGATCTACTCCTGGTTGATTCTCTTGATTGATATGTGGGTTGCTTATGATCAAAACGAAGGGGAATCAATGTCTTGTAAGAAAGGGATCATTCATCATCTCTTCCCGAAATCCTCTAGAAAAATGGATAACAAAATGGGTCATATTCTAACGTGTGAGATGCAACGAACGGAATTGCAAGTGACATCAATGAAAAATGGACAATCATGACAGCAGGTGAGAGAAATAAAAATGTGAGATTTTAACTCGACATAACGATGGTTAGGATTGTTTAGATTAATTGGTTCCGCAAATATACCGCTCCCCTCGACTGCGGATTCGGTTTTCGAAACGCACGGCAAAACAACTCGAATGTTGGGAGGTCGATAACGCTTCTATTCTAATATCCGCGAAAGTGCATACCGAGCTACATGATCACGGATTTATTAAAGCACCAAAATGCCCCTGTGACCACTTGTCCAGCGATGCGTCGTTGCTACCAATACTCTTGATCGAGACTATGACTCCCCGGCTATGAACCCCTGAAGAACGTTAGATCACTTCTTCGTTAAAAGTTTGGCTGTACTCACTTCTACTTCTCATTCCGTGAGGAACCCAATTGGGAGGCCTGAATGCTCGGATCGCTTCCACCGTCAGCTCAACATCAGGACCGTGTTCAGGAAAAGGTCCACTAAAAGCTGCGAGCCCAATTAAGAGCGCTAAGTTTCCGGCAAGAGCTGTGTTTCCAAATACATTTTCATCCAGATCATTATAGTCATAAGTCTGTGGTATAAGCTCTGGCATCCATCTTGGAGACCCTGGAGCAGCGAGGACATTATACGGAGCATCGAAGTCAAGAACTGATATATGATTTCCATTTTTTATGGGCTCTGGATGTTTGAAGGTAAGTCTTCTCCAGCCATACCGCGCATCCCTAGTTTTGATTTCTTGTCCCACACTCCTTTTCTTGCAGTTCAACGGCACTCCGAGGAAATGATCCCTTTCGGAATCATAGAAGAGAGAACACTCTCGGAAATTGTTACCCCCGGAAACCTGTGCCTGGGTGATTGAACCGAGTTCCCATTTTCGCCAACCAGTTGTTGCCACAAGAGAAACGGCGTCTGGATCCGTCGGTGGATACCAGTTCTGCTGAGCGTCACGAATTTCACGTTGGACTTCGTAGTTTGGTTGTACGAAGTCGATATTGAAATAAAATCTCAACAAGTTGGCAGACATGACAGATGCTTCTAGTACAAAGCCACGTCGGAGATATTCTCAGAGAAATGTTTGAGTTCGAGAGGGTTGTCAAACGAGAAATGACCTGGAGTGGTAAACATAAGTTATGGCGATGAAATGGAAACTGGAATTCTCAAATAAACTCACCGCATAAACACACCCGTGATGTGAAGCTATAGAGAATAGCAGATTTTCCACATGGTTTGATCATACATGAGGCTTGAGGCAAGGGGTCCCGTTTCCATAATTTTCATGTGTCAAGCCGAAAGCTCTGCCTTATATGTTCAACTTGAAAGGGGAAGATAGATCAAGGCCCAACAGAGCCTGTAAGAACTTTTAGAGATTTGTCGCACCTATCACTTTGCTGGTCATCCATTTAGCCCCTTTTTACCTAGCAGCGTTTCGCACAGTAATTAAAAAGAATGCGTGGATACCCGACGAGAAGCATGATTGTCAGGGCTAAAATCGAGATCACAAGGACAGCGAAAGTTCTGTGGTTTCCAAATTATGCTTGGGAACCGACGGAACGTTTGAATGGTCGGTATTGTGAAATCCATGTTAAGACACCACTATTAGGTCAGGTCAACCAAAGGCCAAAATTGTATATGAGGAGAATGGGTGGCCAGAAAGCTGCCGAGTAAACTCGTCAGTTGAGTTTGACTGCTAACACGACAAGAGAGAGTTGCGGGATCACAGGTATGATGCTGTGTGGAATCCGGCAATTCCGCTGTCGCGACAGGACCAGAACTCTGCCAACAAAACAAAAGACTTTGTATCATCTAAACTAAGGAATAACCTTCTCGGAAATGTGGGAGAAATAATTAATTGGAGGGTTTATGGCATACTCGATGGGGAAACTTTCCGCCTGCCAGCTGGCTGAGGGTACTCAATCGACCTCCGATGATAGGTGCTTCCCCTGGAAAGCGCCGGTGATTGCCGGGCAACGGCGACCTGCTGGCCAATAGCCTATAAAATTATGGTAAACTCCAGTATTATATGTGACGGGAATATTTAAACGCTAGGGGAGCCTGCGCGCACTCGAAAGCCAGATGTAGTAATACTGCGGCTTGCAGTGCTATTTCATGAAGATCGAAAACCAACAAATTCCGACCATGAGCCTGAACAAGGAACAAAAAACTAAAAAGTGGAATGAAGACAACAAGAAAAAAGAATAAAACAAAATAGAGGATATGGAGGAAATCCATGCTTGATATATATAAACGTGGTGGGAAATGCAGTTGGCCTTGTAACGGCAGAGGTACCTCCCTTGCTTCTCTTGGCTTGTTGCCTTCCAGTTGCCCTGCCATATCTCCTGATATCATCCCCTGTGCCGATTGGAACGGAGGGTCTTTTTTGAGGGGCGAAAGCGATTCCTCTGGGTTAGGCACTCGTTTGTTCAACTGAATTGGACAACCCACGGATTTCAAGTCCCCATGGATGGTCCAGACGTGATCGAGTAGCAATAGCAAATGCAAGCCGGAGCAATTGGAGACAAAATTAATGTAATTTACATAGGTGGGCTTGTCCGTGGACAGGTTGGTCGTGGCAGCATCGTAGTTCCCATTGCGTTTGCCTGCACTACCACGTTGTCCCGCGTCTGTCCACTTGGATTTGGGAGGACATGCTATTAAATATTAAGACTCCTTCGGGACATATGCATAACATCACCTGAAATTTCCCCGTGCCAATGGAGGTGAAATTAACCAGGGAAGCAGTACGGACAGAGGCGACCCATATAGGTCATTTTCAAAAATATGATATGAGAGCCTCATTGGGGGGGTTGGAGCCTTCCACCTGTGGTCGACCTGCTAATGCTATATTCTCAAGCGTTCGGCTATTGAGCACATCGTTGCTTTTGTCACCTAAGAATAAACCCCTCGAGGCTGGTGGGAGTTTCTTCGGCAGATTATTTATATGCCATTTGTAAAGCGTGGTGCAAAACTGCCCGAAAGGCTAGCAGTGGTTCAGCAGGTTGCAAATGCAACTGTCCGCTCTTTGAGAGCTTGACAAGTCAATTGAGACAGATGTCAGACAAATAACCGGACAAGATGAATGAAACCCGCATCTATCAAGAATATCTCGTTTCGAGGTTGAGTTGGGTTAGGGGACAAACGCCTTTAGGGTTGACGTTATGCGTTGTGCAGTCGGCAAAGGAAAAATACTATATTTATAAGAATTTGTTCTAGCATCCTATTACTCGAATTTTGCCATCCCATGCAACTTACTCTCTCTATCACACATTGAAAGAGTTTCCTTAAACTCCAGCTCTTGAACTTTCCGGTCAGCTACCTTTACAAACTGCCTAATCTCTGTCCTATGGGAAAGGCCAATCGATGAGTTTTCCATATCGATTACGTATGGTTCTATTTTGTTCGAGGACCTAACCCAATCCTGAGGAATGAAATGTGTTGGAAAATAACAAATGAAGCTGCATGTTGCGCGGAAGGCCATTTGCCTATGCAAAAAGATGGTCACCAGTGTGTGAAGCCACTCAAATAGTTTGTAGATTTGCCAATTTCAATCTCCAAAACAACTGATTAACAGGGAGAGTAATAAAATCAACAAAGAATCCACCCAAAAATTAATAATAATGCCCGATTTAGCAGACACCCAACAAAACCTAGAGAGAGAAAAATTGTCGATAGTGGGAATCAAAAACTATAAAAAATTGTACTTGAAAAGCGTTTAACCCGTTACGACATTAACATCTTCGTCATCGCCCTACATAACTTCATTCCAGCAATGGCCGCGGCCAAGGGCCTTGTCGCAGTCGCTTCCGGGGAAATTTCTCCAGGTGGGACCGTTCTTTTTGCAATTGGTAAACCATCCGTTGTAGTCCATGCATACATCACTGCGTCTCTTGCATTTGCCGTGGATGTTGTATTTATTGCTGCAATTGGGACCGCCGTGATTGTTCATGCAGGATTTCTTCCCGCTTCGTTTCTGGAGGCGCCCGCTATGGTCGTGATCAAGTACAACCTTGACCCCAAAGTCGTAAACGTATGCGTTCCCATACTGAGCGTGCGGCCTGGGGGGGTTCTCGAGGTAAATTATACCGTCTTTGATTATATTGCCTTCGACCCCGGTGACGTGGGACGTCTGTTTTCTCCCCAGAACTGAGCAATCGCCATGGATTTTCTGCAGGCTGAGCTCTCCCAGGTGGTTTGCCTCGTGTTGTTCCCCGTCGTGGGACACTAATGCTCCCTCCACAGGGAAATATATTCTGAATGTACCGCTGGGCGGGTCATAGAAATAATTATTCAGCTTTCCCCATTCCTTAGGGTTGCTCATGTAGTGCTGGTTCAGGTCGCCGAGTTCGTGCTCCGGAACCTTAACCTTTTTGAATCCGATCAGCTTGATTGTGTTGTTGGGGAGCTGATATTCGAGTGAGTTAAGAAAACGCTCTTCGAACATGGTGATATCGCGTGTTGCGAGTTGGGCTGCTTGGGTAGGGCTCCATGTCAATGCGAGAGCCGCAAGCGACAGGACCTGGGAAAAGGGTGACTTCATTTTCTGAGTAGACAGACAAGTCGGCTTTTGATTTGTATTGTTGAACTCTATAAGGAAGAGCAACAATGATTTTTGACTTCCAGATTTATGAGATGGGAAAAATGTCCTGTGCATTGTGTCCGCCTTTATAACTTCATTGTTCGCTCACCTCCCCATCCTGAAAGCGCAGGACCACAAACGCATTCCTGAAACGAAGTACTGCCTCCTTCATGCTATCTCTTGATGCTAATCTTTATAAAGAGGCAGGCGGCCTGCAGAGTTGGGTCACTAAATTTAGCAACTATACGACTTTTCCCAAGAAAATGTACGAGGTTCTCTGAATAAATTAAGCTTGCTGCCCTGGTCGGGGGTGAAACAGCAGAGATACTTGACAATATCTGGGGCACGTCTTCACGGCTTGATCACCTCAGGGCCAGAGTCTAGCTTGTATGTCGCGCACAAGGCTGGCTTGCTCAGCCAACGCGATACCTTAGCACTGCCCATTCCGCGTCGATCAAACAGTCTTTGACGCGACTGCATTGTGTGACGACCAACCAACTGCTGCAAATTAACAGGAATTTTTATCTCTTCCGCTCGTACAGAGTACGGAGTATATTCCAAGAAATTCGGAAACTCCACATCAGGTCACGATGACGACGCTTCATGGATGTCAAATCTTCAGAGTGATAGTTTTCTGTGCATACATTCAACTAGCTGAATGGTTCCACAGGAGGTGGGCCACTCACTGCTCAGCAACAGAAAAGCAGAGCTATTACCATCCATGTTGAGGTGCGGTTGAATACGGGCTTCAAAAAGAAAAGAGGCTGATGCTGTCGGACGTCTCCATGTCTGGCACTATTTAGTTAACTAGAAGTGGGGCGAAGTATCTTCAAATATACATGTACAGAAACAATACTTGGGCGTTTGCAACAGAATATTAGCTTCTATTAGATTGTTGTTATCTAGAGCTCTGCTCTTCCTCTATGACCAGAGGGATTCAGTGAGCGTTTTATACCCATATATTCGCATCCATCTACTATCTATTGTATTGATATCTCTTAATCCCATGGTAGATTGGGTGGAGTTTAATTATATCCGAACCTTGATTGACATATACCCCCACTGAATACACCACTCAAAAGGAAATCATGAAGCTTTTAGCAAGGAATCAGGAATGAACATATGGCTATCGTCTTCTTATTATTCATACTTAGCTTTAATCTACACTCCATATAATGATATGACGCCTAGCTGGCGGCAGAAACTGGCGTTCCACGTTGCCAGTTTCCGACACCTGCTAACCACCCAACGTCGATGAATTAACCTTTCCGTCACTGCCAGGATTTTTGGAGTTGATGCACTTTCGTGGCTCCCTTTTTGCTGAGTGGAGGGTGCGTTTTTGACGCTTCGCCAGTTTTACATACTTCGCCCGCCCCTGTACATTAGGTGCACACAACTGAGAGTTTAATATCAATGTTGAAGTCATGAAGCTCTACTTGTTCACTGTTGTTATCTTGATATAAATTGTGGATTATATTCAGCAGCCCCAATTCGATTCCAGAAGTAATCACAGTGGATAAAGAAGCGCAAGAAATCAACCCAGCTGAGATTTCGTGAAGGGAAATCATTACCAACATGATGAAGTGTTGAACTTCTCTAGAGGGGCTCAACCGTCCACCACGAAAAAAAACTCGAATGGGTAAAATGATGGTTCCATGTTTTTTTGAAATATCTGGTATATGGGCAAGTTTTCTTGTTTGGGTTCAAGTTCTCCAGAAGCTAGATGAGCCTTTCCTTAGACGTTTCCAAGTGCAATTCATTAACCCTCAGTAGAGGAATCATCATCGAAGGCACGGGCAAAAACCCCTGGTGGTTCACCTGGAGGAGGCTGTCTCTTTTGACGAGGTCTACGGGGTGATAACCAAGCTGTTCGCTTCTTGCCCTCAAACCAAATCACCACATCTTCACCCTTTGCATAGTTCTCAATCAACTGCAAAGCATCGAAGTCAAGGACACAGTATTGCACCTTTTCTGGTTCTTCCGGCTCTGGCTCGCTGTCGAACATCGTCGTCATGGTCGTCCATAGTGCCTCCGGCACGCTCGGGAGATTGGCAACTTCTTTCACTTTCTCGCCGGTGGGGAAAGTTCCCGAACTCGATATGATGACGGGGTACCGACCCGGCGGTCGTGGTGGTGCTGCCTTAGCTCTTTGCCAGTCCTCCGCCGACCAGGGCGGGTGTTTTTTATATTTCTCCTTTAATGCCTTGTCCTTTTTAACTGTGCGCGTCTCGCTTCTTCTTCGAGTTTCTTGAGGCTTGAGCTGCTCAGTTCAGTAGTTGACATGCTTGCGCGTTGATCAGACCTTGGAGTACTCAAAGGAAACGGGAGGAGATATTTAGTTCTGGTGGATGGATGCGTCGCCTAAAACCGCCAAGAAAAGGGGAGGGCAGAGCCGCCGGGCCGTCATATCGTCCAATTAAAATAGAGATCGTACCGATGGGTACATTTTTAAGCGCTATCACCTTCTCAAAAGGTCCAACATCTCAAGAAAACTAAGAACATCTTCACTGCTCAAAATATATTTGATCAATGAATAATGATATTCAGCGTCTTCTCTTCCTTTGAGACAATGTCAACTATTCTGCGGTACTAGTAAGTATTGCATTTTTGAGAAGTCTAAGATAAGAAAACTAATGAGAATGATAATACTTTGAATCTTTGATTCTGTTCATATATTCTGCTCACTTCCGGTTGCTCGACCCACATCCACGTCTCGCCTTATTCACAATACAGCTTCACCTCCAGCCAGCGTAAGAGCCTCATAAAAGGGATCATTTACTATGACAAACCAGTGACGGCAATTACGCCGGCTGATCGCAAGTATAATGTGTGTGCCTTACTCAATATGGGAGAGATTGAGGTTTGGAAGAAAGATGTTAGTGACGTGATGACGAAAACATGGGCCGCCGCTCTTCGCCAAAATCGACGAGCCGACAATGAAGCAAAGCATCCTGGTTGGTCTATGCGAATCACATTATCTGTCCTGGAATTTCCAGAATATTGCGAGTGCATGTGGTACGATTGAATTCCGTCGCCCACCGGCTGTCAAGTCTGCCGCAGAGGCAATTCATTGGATCTCCTTCGCGCTGGGGTACGTCGCTCATTCGATGCAGAGAGATTGGAGTACAGTCGCGCAAACAAACACCTTCCCTTCCATGAATGATCTCCGGGCAGCTGTGGTCAGCGGGCTTCAAAAGAAGAACGAAAAACCAATGAAGAAAAAGTGTCTTTGCCGAGAAGGTCAGTCCACACATCAAAATTTCTGGCTCTCCGTGGCTAATGTTGTTTGTTTTTCAGGACTCTAATTTGCGTCCAAACACCCCAGTTGGAGCTGCAACTCCATGAGCACTGTCCTAGCCCTTGATTGAACTTCTGGTTTAACTTGTATAAAGTCCCAATATACAATACAGCTTAATTTCAGTTGCTGTGGTGTGATACTCAGTAATTTGAGTAAATGGTTATGTGAGATGTGCAGCTTGGTCTTGATATCCCCAGTTATTAGGCTTCTATTCTTCTATTTTCAAGATTGATGTCTAGTTAGCAGTTCAGTTTACTTTTATGAGTGAAGTTAATAGTTTAGGGTTGTACTGCAGTTATTTATATCTCTGTTGTTGTTTAGATGTATATTCAAGATGTTCTACTTTATTGTCATGGTCGTGAATGAACCCAACTAAAGCTCAGAGTAAACATAGCATATTGAAATGTTTAAGTTCTATTGCCTCTGAAGAGTAGTTCTGAGTCCCTCTCGGAAAGAAGTTCTAAATAAACTTCAAATTATATGCGTAATTTTATACCGGCTAGTGTTCACATCTGCTATCTATCTATTTTTCTCTGCCTCTTCTTTAACTGCTTTCTCTTTCTTCGCAATCAATTGTTATTGCCTCTACTCTGTACATCAATTGCTATTTTTTATTGTATATTATTATTATTTATTTTCAACTATATTATTTGCCCGCTACACTGTCTACCAGGCAGATATCACAACAGTTAGCGTCAGTTGTGTCCAGATCTTTCTTCTTCTTTTTTCTCCCTTTTTTCTTGTCAGTTTTCTGCTCCTTGGGATTGAACCGGGACCTGCTGACGCTGAACGATGAAGCCACTGGATCGACGTGTGTTGATGGTCTCCAAGTCCAAAAATTAGGTGCACATTGGAAGCTGCAACGGAATAGCGTGGGTCGTTTGCATTTCATTTCAAGGTATCGCGCCCTCCTAGGAACGAATAATTGATATCCAGGAGGCTGTCTCGGTCTTCCTCCGCCGACTCTACAATTGATAAAAATAGAAACTTGTGCTTCCATGCTTTCCCCTCTATCACCCATTTCTATACCTACCATTAAGAGGCAGGAGGCTTTTCACAGTGCTTGCTCTTTGCAGAAAAATGTTTCGATGATGATTTGATCGACTTCAAGATATGAAAACTTGATCTTCGAATGCAGCAAATAGTGCTGTTTAATCGTCGGGCTCAATTTTTCGACATCCAATAACAGGCAACCAGGCAGACTTCCAAAGAACCAGCGCTATGGGCTAAGTGGCGGCAGAACCGACTTAAATAGCTCAAGCCTAAATTTGGTGGACGGCGGGCTGCGGAGGAACCTTGGAAACGAAACATGTTTCCCGTTTTCGACTAGCGTGTGAAATGACCTTTTAACCACTGCTGCTGGTACTCCGTAGAAGACAACATCTTTCTTCTCTTTCACTTGGATAATTGTACTGTGAGGACAGTGAATTCTGTACTGCCCCTACAAAAATAGTCTGATAAAGCTTTCATTGTTGTTCAACGCCCAGCATGACCCGCCAGTTCAGATCTAGCCTTGTTGCCTCTACCTCCAACCCTTCTTCCTGGGCCACCGAACCCAAACCCCATCCTCAAACCCAAGAACAGGCGGATACAAATGGTGGCCCAAAGCCTTCGCTTGCCTCACCGGAGTCCTACGCCCAGCCCTTTTGCAATTTCATGACAAACAACCCGACTAGCTTCCACGCCGTTGCCAGCTTCTGCGCCCAGCTCCAGCAGCACGGCTTCACCCGCCTGTCAGAGCGTGACATGTGGTCCTCCGTCCTCAAAGCTGGCGGGAAATACTACTGCTGTCGTAATGACAGCTCCCTGATAGCGTTCTCCATTGGTTCCGAATATAAGAGCGGCAATGGATTTGGAATTGTTGCTGGACACGTTGACGCAGTCTGCGCGAAACTGAAGCCCGTTTCCAAAATGAGTAATAAGGCGGGGTTTATGCAGTTGGGCGTTGCACCGTACGCGGGATCAATGGGCTCGACATGGTGGGACCGCGATTTGGGGATTGGCGGGCGTGTGCTTGTTCGCAATCAAGATACGGGTGCGATTGAGTCTAAGCTGGTGAAGCTGGATTGGCCCATTGCGAGAATTCCAACCCTTGCCGTGCACTTTGGAGCTGCATCCCAAGGCCCATTTAACAAAGAGACGCAGGCGGTGCCGATAATTGGGTTGGATAATTCTGATATCCTTGGAAATGAACAGGGCAATGCTCAGGAAGATGATGATATCAAGCCGAACACGTTTGCGGCGTCCCAGCCGTCTAAACTGATGAAAGTTATTGCTAAAAAATTAGGTATTTCTGATTTAAGCACTATTGTCAACTGGGAACTTGAGCTATTTGATACACAGCCTGCGCAGGTTGGAGGGCTGAATAAAGAGTTCATCTTCGCTGGTCGTATTGATGACAAACTTTGTTGCTATAGTGCCCAGGAAGCACTTCTAGCATCCGAGGATACTGCATCCTCTGGAATCATCAAGATGGTGGGAATGTTTGACGCAGAGGAGATCGGTAGTCTATTACGCCAGGGTGCCCGCTCAAACTATTTGAGTAGTGTCATGGAGCGCATCGTAGAGGCTTTTGCACCTTCATATGGTCCCAATGTGCTTTCGCAGACAGTTGCAAATAGTTTTCTTCTTTCCTCTGACGTTATCCACGCGGTGAATCCCAACTTCGAAAACGTCTATTTGCATCACCACGCTCCAAGATTGAACGTTGGGGTCGCCATATCTGCTGATCCCAACGGACACATGACCACTGATAGCGTCGGCACAGCGCTTCTAAAACGCATTGCGGATAAGTGTGGCTCTACTTTGCAAGTGTTCCAGATCCGCAATGACAGCCGCAGCGGAGGAACGATTGGACCTATGACGAGCGCTCGCATTGGAATAAGGGCGATCGATGCTGGTATTCCTCAACTGAGTATGCATAGCATCCGTGCAACGACGGGGAACATGGATCCTGGACTTGGTGTCCAGTTGTTTAAGGGATTCTTTGATTATTTTGAGGAGGTGGATCGAGAATTCCGTGATTTCTAGATGATGTTGGTCGTTATGGTTTATATCTCTTATTTTATTTTGATTTGATTTAATTTGATTTTTTTCCTTTTTCGTATCTTGTTGAATATTCATTATTATATTGATACTTCGGGTTTTTTTTTTTTTTTTTTTTTTTTTTTCTGTTGGATGAAGTATAATGCTTGGGGCTAGGATTATTGTTTGGAGGTAGAAAAGACGTCAATAGAATTAATATAATGTCATGTTGAACCATAAAAAAGCTAAATCCTTTGGTGAAAGGATGTGGTTTTCTAGCCAGAAAATACTTGTAGATGATATTTACTCTACCCAATTCAATATTATCTGCTCTACGGAGTAGTTTCTTCGTCCACAGAACAGAAAGAATCCTTGGCAATATGGCGCTAAGATAAAGATGTAAATAACCTTAAAAGCGCCACCAATTGCCAACACGGTACAAAAATTTATCCCCAATATCAACGCTGAAATGCACAACAGCAGGCTTGCACAGTATTCTTGTCACATATACTTTACTGATGCCATATAGCTCTTCATGAAATTTGGAAAGTGTGTAGGAACTTCAATATCTATAAGCATGGCGGAACCTAGCCCTTCCAAACCAGTCCACACAATAATCCTCGACGCTGCGCCCCTCATCCGCAATGTACCCCCGATCTCGACGCTTCTTGCGCAGTCTCACGCCCTTATCACCACTCCTGCTGTCATCTCCGAAATTCGAGACCCTGCTGCGCGCTCTAGACTTGAGACGTTATACCTCCCATTCCTCATACAACGTACTCCCAAACCGGAGTCCGTAAGGTTCGTCGGAGAATTTGCACGGAAGACTGGCGATAGGCCAGTGCTGAGTAGACAAGATCTGGAGATTTTGGCACTGGCATATGAAGTTGAATGTGAGAGGAATGGAGGTGACTGGAGGTTAAGAAAGGAGCCCGGACAGAAACGGATTAATGGAATACCGCCCACGAAGGTTGACGAGGAACAGGAGAGGGAAGGCAGGGCAAATGGCGATGAGCCTCCTGTGGAACAACATAATAAAGTTGAACACCCCATCGAAGACGTGGTGAACGGCTTGGCACAGGTTACTCTAGATAACAAGGGAGAAGAGGCACAAGGGAATTCGGCACGAGCTACGAAAGGCGTTGAGGAAATACAACTGGAAGAATGCTCAACACGGATACAAACGGACGAATGCGACGAGGATGACGAGATGGATGACGACGAGGATGACGAAGGCTGGATAACTCCTTCCAACATCAGAAAGCACCAGGCAAAAGATGCCGCAGCTCCCGCGGCATCCGTTGAAACAAAAACAATGCAAGTCGCAACCATAACCGGCGACTTCGCTATGCAAAACGTCCTGCTGCGTTTGAACCTCAACCTCCTCTCGCCCAACAACATGCAGCGCATCCACCGGCTTAACTCCTATATCCTCCGTTGCCACGGTTGCTTCGCCACAACGAAGGAAATGAACAAGCAATTCTGCCCGCGCTGTGGCAAGCCAACACTAACCCGCGTCTCCTGCTCCACGTCTGCGGGCGGCACGTTCAAGCTCCATCTCAAGAAGAATAAGCAATGGAATACGAGGGGGGATAAATATAGTATTCCGAAACCGACGGCGGGTACGTCGAATGGAAAGTGGAAAGGAGGTGGTGGACAGGGGGGCTGGGGGACTGGGCTGATACTGGCGGAGGATCAGAAGGAGTATGTGAGGGCAGTAGCTGAGGAGGGGAGGAGAATGAGAAAGGAGAGGGATCTTATGGATGACGATTTTCTTCCCGGAATTGTGACTGGGGAGAGGATGAAGGGCGGTGGGAGGGTGCAGGTGGGAGCAGGTAGAGCAGTTAACTCAAGGAAGAGGAGGTAAGATATATTCGCGAGAAGAAGGAAATTTTGGCATGATTGCATAAACAGGTTTGAAAAGAAAATGGGAGAGAGTACAGGATTATGTTATATAATCCTTATTTTCACTGACGATTTTTTCTTTAAGCATTTCATACTAGTAGGGAATCAAAGATAGATAAAAGATCGCAAATATAAAACCGCATTTCAATGCTTCAGGCATGGAAAATCGCTTGGATGTGTAACGTAGAGTAGAATACATACAGAGTGAGTCGTATGGTATCTGAAGTCGAATTATTTCCGCACCACCATGATTTCTGCTAGTACTTCGCAACCATAGAATTTGTACAGAGCCATACTAAAAGAAAACCGTGGAGCCTTAGATAGGCAACAATAGATGAGACTAGTTAGGGTTTATATATATCTCATTTTTTAAAAACCGCCCTTCCTTCGCCACAAAAGAAAAACGCCATTCGCCCGGATATCAATTATTGCCAGAGAGCGGTCACATTTTGGGTTCTAGTTCGCAAGGTAGGATATATTAGCCCTTACCCTACCAGCCAAAGAGGCAATAAGTGAGTAGCTTGTGCTGTCAGTCCACGTACCAGGCTGTTGCGTCAAGAGTAGTCTATATCGTTTCTTCAATGTAACTCGGTGTCTTGAAGAAATTAGTTTTGTTTTGCCCATCGCAGGCATATCTTTGTCTGGAAACTGACCTGGAGTATTTGTCATCTGGCGAGAATCTGGCGGGATGGGCAGATTTTGTGACCCGGCCATCCAGCACCTTTTTCAATGTGTAGATGCGGTTGCCTTCACTGTCGAGGGTATACATGAGATGCATTCTGTAGGGAATGGTTAATAGGTAATCCGAATAGTGCGGCAGTAGTTGGGTATCTTACTTTGCTAAGAGATTTAAGCCGACTCTTAAAAACAGTGAGTGAGTTCTCAGAGATCTTGTCTGTGAACGTAGCTGGTGAGGAATGACGATGATTTAATTTTTGATTAAATTATCTTTGGCACTGTGGTTCGGAATGGAAGGTTTTGCCGACCCGCGCTAACTGACCACAGCTCATTCAATTTCGAACATGAAAATTTCAAAACCACTTGAAGATCAACAATCCAATATTCAAAATCTACCCTCTCAATATTCTGCATGTTTTGCTTGTTCTTCCCTCTCTATATACTTGGTAATTGACATATTAATCACTCATACCATAGCTACTAACACCGAAAAAGTTATGAAGGAATAGAATACAATTTGTTTATGAAAAAGGGTTGCCTCAGTAGCACAATGACTGAGCACTCCTGCATGGGTGTTAACAGTTAATAGAATATTTGGTAGGTGATGTCATTTCCTTTTCCTTGTTTAATTGAACTTGAATGGGGTTTTGTGTTTAAAGTAGCATGTATTTCCCCCTCTGTTTCCGGTGATGACACCCATAGTAGCCTAGGTAGCAGTACTGATTTTTCGCTGCTGTCAATGTTGGCTCTTATATGACTACAACGGTATCTGAGAAGCCTGCATATATTTTGCACATGCTTACTACTACTTCTATTCGGTGTGTTTGGGAGACTTCATTTGATTCTGACTCAATTTGTCTAGTTGCCCCATCTGCGAGTAATACTCCATTCATGATGGCATCATCTACCTCCTTTGTCATTCCAACGGTCTCAAATGGACCTACAGACTCTAACAACAATAGCAATTGGAATCCTTTAAAAGATGCAGCTAACCACCTTCCTCCACGGCCCCGGCGGCCCAATTACAAACATCTCCACCGTTTTCCTCTTCCCCTCCACGTCCACCCCTTACCTCCACTAATTCCCCACAATCCCCTCTCTCTAATTAGCATAGCCCTATCGTATCTCACATACTTTATTTCTCCTCCTCACCAGCACATCTATTGCGCGTACTTTGACTCGACAACGTCTTCAGTCCATGTCACTGACGCGAAAGCGATACGTGCGTTGTGGGAGATGGGCTTCTTTGGGAAAGGCAGCTTGAGTAGGAGTGAGCCAAGTTGGTTAGATCGAGAGAAAAATAGAAGGGGATTGACGGGTGATGCGACAAGTGAGGAGGTGACAGGGAAAAGAAGAGTAGAGCGGCGGGAACGCAAACTTGAGAGAGCTAGAAAGGAAAAAGAGGCTATTGCAGAGCAGCTGAAAGCAGAAGCGCAATTACGGAATTGTCGTGGTGATGTTCGACCTATTGAATTTGATCAGGCTTTGTCCACCTTAGAAAGCCCCGTCAATGATGCTGCTGTTGCTCACCCGAATGAACAGCCTCAGGAGAATCGAGACCAAGAGTCTATAGTTCGAGCAACAAACTCATCCATCCCCAGGCAATATATGGCCAATGGGAATTCTGGGAATGAACGTTCAAATGCTGGTAAGACCGTACATTTCTCGCCAGTAGTCGACCAAATGAAATATGATAGTGCACAACCTACGTTACCACAACTACCTGAGCATCCAATCCCTCATACAGACAAACAAGAGCACACCCAAATACTCAATCAAGAGCATCTCCAACTGTCGAACGAAGAAGCCTTCTTCCTCGTCTACTGTCTAGGTGTACTACAAGTATATGATAATGACCGCATATCGATCCTTCCCGCAACCTCACTCTTATCTCTCTTCCGCCGACATTCCTATTTTCCCCCACGAGAGCCATCTGTTCCCGCAAAACCAGATGATCCGTTTCTGCTATCTTATGTCGTATACCATCATTTTCGTTCGCTTGGGTGGGCAGTCCGCTCCGGTGTAAAATTCGGCGTTGATTACCTTCTCTACAACCGCGGGCCGGTATTCTCACATGCCGAGTTTGCAGTTTGTCTGCTTCCTGCTTACTCCGATCCTTACTGGACAGCGACTGCAGAAAAGAGACAGAAGACTGCGAAGAAAGAGGACCGAACCTGGTGGTGGCTTCACTGTGTGAACAGAGTCCAAGCCCAGGTCAAGAAGAGTTTGGTCCTATGTTATGTAGAAGTCCCGCCTCCCCCTCCCAAGCTACAACCTACCGGTGCCAATGGGGAAAATGATGAATTGGATATTGGTGCTCTGTTGAAAACGTACAAGGTCCGTGAAATGACAATTAAAAGATGGGTGCCGAATCGAAGTCGGGATTGAGGACTGCCTTCTCCTTTCTTGTTTATCCTTTTCTACCCATATTTTGGGAGGGCGGGGTGACTTGATTGTGATCCGGGTGTTATTGCATCTTTGCCCCAATATTGGCCTGCTATTTAAAAGCTTTGTATGATAGTACCTTTCTCGTGTGTATATTGATAGCTATAGACCCGCCCGACATGTGAGTTTATTCCGCAATTTTCGACAAGGTTAAATTGGTTTAAGATGGCCTTCCCTAATCGCTATATGCAAAATGATATCATCGACGGGAACCAACATACACAGAATTGAGCAGTGCTAGTATTTCTGCGACGTAATTCAAATCGGCCCTCAGGAAGTAACTTTTCAACTTGACCAGGTAAGGCGCATTAGCCCAATCGGGCAAAATTGAATTGTACACACGTGACCGCGTGGATTCGACAGTCGCGTTGGATGTCGCGCACTTATTACCGTTTCGGGTAACATGGAATCAGTAATAACAGCGCTGGGCGACGGACTCTCTTCCGGGCCGTTTATATGCCCCAACCATGGACACTCAAGATGATAGCCTCGATCTGGATTATCTGAAGCAAGCAGCCTTCGACTTGACTGACGTTCGTATCTGTATTTTATCAATGCTTCTTTTTCCCCTTTCGTGGCGTGACGAATGCCTTGTCCAGGCGTTAAAATCGCGCTAACTGACTCTAATTGTTTGATAGGAACGGCCAAAACAGGACGTGTCTCGAAACTTACAATTACGAGGTAAGATTAACTTGGAAACGATTGCGGAGTGGTGGGAGTCCTGCATCACTGGAATTTCATCAGTCTGGGGACTGTGGGAGTCAAAAATATCCATTCTAATACACCTCAACTACACAGATATTAGTCGTTTTCTCGGGACTCAAGCCCATGCCATTGCGTCTTTGAATACCACTATGAAGCTGCCATTGCAGCCTGACGCTGGGCATAGCTCAGTTCCAGAGTCACCCTTTCCCAAAATGGCGGCTGCAACAGGTAGTTTACCGGGCGATACGCAGCCAATCTCTCAATCAGTCTTTGAGAGTTTCATGAGCAAGGCAAGAGCAAACCTAGGACCTCCGAAAGACCAGGAGGGAAACGAAGATGATAATGTAATGGCAAAGGATGCGACTCTACATGAGGGCGATACAGGCCATCTAGATTTACTAGCTGCTTTTGGCGAAACTCCTGTTGCAAATCGTGAGTTCGCCGACGAGGATGGACACCTAGAGGACCTTGACATGGTTGGTGGAGCCTCATCTCCAACCCAGTACCAGCTTTTCCCCGAATCCCAACGCTTCATTAGCATGACCCCTGCGACGCCAAATCATGAACACTCGCAGCCCGAGGTCTCAGCTACGCCAATACTTCCACGTTATGCCTTCAGCAGCGAATGTCACAACGGCAGCACTGTAATGGCATTATCCCAAGTGTTCAATGCAACCCAAAATCACTCGTCGCCCTATACTAATGGACCTCCACTTTCATCGGATATGCCATCACCAAATATCCCTATTGAGACCCGACTGACTGGCACGACCACAGTATTCTCACCTCCCCTTCCATCCTCAGTTGCTCCGCGGAAACATTTAGAACCTCAAGCAAACTACGTTTCGATGAAGGAGTCGCAGGCTGTGCGGGATATGCTGGCACGTTTGCACTCGACGGATGAAAATGGTTTTAGCGATGACGATTTTGGGGGGGATGATAGCTACGTCCAGAGACATGTAAGGGAAAAATACACGGAAGAGGAAGTGAAAAAGCACTTTGCCAGTGTGACCGCCCCCGCTAGGTGCGGCTCAAAAGGTCGTGGAAAAAAGACTGCGACAGATCAATCCTCCCCGATCCAAGCAGAATCTCGAAACGACTGTCCTCCCCGTACTGTTACTTTAAAAGTGACGGAGATTGGGGCTATTGAAAGAAGTGAAAGAAACAATGCTGGAAGCAGTGAAGAAGAAACCGAACAGGAGGATGAAGTTGAGGCCTCGCAGAGCCGACGGATTCAGCACTCCCAGATTTCAGGAGAAGATGATAAGGAAAATGTTGACATTGGGGCCGTTCGTGTTCCTGACACTACTTCCTATGCTCATGACGCTCTCTCTCAGGCCCTTGAATTAGAGCATTCAGGCCATCGAAACTTAATTAGCGAAGTTTCAGGACATACCAACGGCAGTAAGGAACCAGCGAATCGGCCTCAAAGCACTCCGAACAAAAGCGAAGACAACACACCTACTGGCTCTCAAATCGTTAATATCGCCAATTCTCAACCTTTCAGTAATCCTAGTCAAAAGAGACGCAAAGGCAGACCCAGGACGGTAACTCCGCGTTTGGCACAATCTCCTACCAAGGAATGTATACTATCATCACCTGTTTCCGGTCTACTTAACCACCCTAATCCACATGTTCTCAGCCGTGGTTCAAAGAGGCCTGGAAGCAGATCTCGATATAGGAGGATAGAAACGCACTTGGATCAATCCCCGGAAGAGGAGAATGTGCATTCGTCGCCAGTAATTTCCCTGCAAGAACAGAGCAGCCTTGTTGAACAACAACCGTCTCACGGGGGACATCGTTCGTCGAAATCGGTTTCTGGAACCCAACATGACCTTGGAGACGCAAAATTTATGGAAACGTCTCACAAAATGCCCCATCAATATGGTCGGCATGACGACCATGCTCCGAATGTGGAGTCACCAAATTATCAGAAGACATATCTGGAGGCTGAAGTTAAAATATCAGATCCGAATCCTTCATCTGAAGAACTAGGCGCTGCGAAAGCCTCTTCCATACCTTCTCGTGTTTTAGAAACACCGACCCAGGAAAAGCAACCGTCAAAAACATATCGTCAGATGATACCGGAAACATCTCCACCTAGTCACTTTTCAAAATCCATCCCAACATTTAACAATAACTCTTCAAGATCTCCCACTCATGATGACGATCAGCTTCCTGTTCTCCCCAAGTTTTCCCGCCCTCAAATTGGACGCCTTGGAGTTCCTGGGTTGCACACTAGGGATTGCCCACATCGCACCGTCTCGGCTGTACTTTCTAGCCCTAGTGGCCGCCAGCGTCGTAGCATGACTGAAATTGCTGCGGAAGAGTCGCCCTGCCGCTCACTGCCTGATTTTTTGCCAGACTTTGGACTTATTACTGCGGAGGACAGAGAATTCGCATCTATAATCCGAGAAACAGAACTTCCTGCTCAGAAAAGGAGGAGAGGAAATGATGGAAGAATCACCGGCTCGTCGAATCTGTTTGACCGGAACCAAACGTTTATCCCTGGCAAGCCACGCGTCGTTCCGCAGCCGGCAGTAGAGAAGAGCGAGCCCACGAATAAGGTTTCGAAGCCTGCTATCCCAATACCAGTACCTCCTATGCATATGGACGCTGTCGTTATCCGGCAAAACCCGCGGGCGTATGTCAGGGGAACTACAGGTCTCTGGGAGGTGGAATGCTCTCCCGTTCAACCAGTAGAGCAGGCTAGAAGGGGACGCCAACCCCGTCTCAGCAAACCGTTAGAGCGTGCCATTTCTAAAACGCGAACTTCTCGGCAGCTTAGAAATAGTATTGCTAGGCCAATTGAGGCATGCCAGTCAACAAGCCTGTCGCCAACATCAACAGAGCTGATTGACAGAGCGGATAGCCCTGACCCAATTCAGGGTGAGAAGACTCATATACACTCGAAACAAATATGCGCTTCACCATCGCTGAATAATCCTGGATTGGAAAATAAAGTATTTGCCTTTTTCAATGGCCGACCACAGGGGTATTTCCCAGCAACCTGTGTTGGAATTTCACACCTTGTTGGCGGTACTCGATACCTTGTAAGATTCGAAGACTCAATCAAACCTGATGAGGTGAATGCGGACGCAGTTAAGAGGTTGGAGTTGAGAATAAACGATATAGTCAAGGTGGACTTACCTCAGGTGCCAAAGATTCCGCATATAGTTGTGGGCTTCCGAAAGCTGAATGAGGCCACTTCCTTCCATGATGGCGAGGCGACCCTCAGTTCGACCATGACTGATGTTCATGGGCACCGCTTCGTCATCCTTAGGCCCAAGAGCTCGGATGGCTCTTTCCGCCATGGGCTTGATATCACTGTTCCGATCTCTAACGTTTACCTTGACAGGATTTTGTGGACTAGATTGGAAAACCGGCAATATTCGTACTCACCGCAACTTGTCAGCCCCTCTGCATCGGAACTACGAACAGCATTCAACCCGCGCCCCAGTTCTGTTCATTCTGCTTCACGGACTGACAATCTCCTCCCATCGGTTTCAGGCTTATTTTCCGGAATGGCTTTCGCTGCGTCCTACAATGATGACGAAGAGAGAAGGCTGCGCATTGAAGAACTCATTACTCAAAACGGCGGAAGGATCCTGAAGGATGGTTTCACCGAGCTATTTAACCAACCATTATCCAAATCTCCTTCTGCGTCGTTCGAAAATAACTCTGTTGTGACATTTTCAACAGATCATAGCAACGGATTACTATCTTTGCATCCTACAGCCGAGAATACCGGTTTCGTTGGCCTCCTAACAAACGAACATACCCGTCGCGTGAAATATATGCAAGCACTTGCCCTCAACATTCCCTGTCTATCAGGACGCTGGGTCTATGATTGCGTCGCCAAAGACCAAATCGTGGACTGGGAACCTTACCTCCTGCCTGCGGGCGAATCTGCTTTCCTTAATGGCGCAATCCGATCGCGAGCCATCTCCCCAAACCCAGCTCTAACAGCACGCCTACAAGACACTATCGCTGCCCGGCCCAAATTACTGGCTGGCCAATCCGTGCTCCTCGTCATGGATCGCGGCAAAATTGCCGAACAGCGCAAACCTTACAGTTTTCTTGCTTGTGCCCTTGGTCCAAGCAGAATCGCATTTGTACCAGACATGAATGCCGCAATTAAGTTATTGGCGCCACCTGGACGGGAATCGCCGGCATCAAGCGCTCATTCAGATGTCAGCTGGGATTGGATTTATGTCGGTGATGAGAAGGCGGGTGCGGCTGCTCGTGCACAACTTATCAAGGCGGCGCAATCTATGGCAGTAAAGCAGACATCCAGGAGCCGCTCGCGGGGCCGGCCGCCTAAGAAAGCCAAAAGTCGTAGTCGACCGACGGATGGGGCGGCACGAGCTGCTGCTACTTCTGCTGGTCTGACTTATGGCGGCCTCGGTATGATTGGAGGTAGCGATGTGACTGTTAATGGAAAGACAGTGAGAATTTTGGATAATGAATTTATTTGCCAGAGTCTTATTTTGGGGAAGTTATTTGAGCCGTAACCATGCCATAATGAGACTATCAAAAAGAACGAATATGCAACCAATCACAGCGGGCTGAAAAGAGGTGTGTATATTTAGTGTCTCGGGGGGAAGGGGAGGGGGTTTCGCACAGGCAGCGCCTGCGTCTCCGAAGCCTCCTGAAGGATATGGAAACGTGCTACGCTGAAGGGATCTTTGTACACGAGAAGAGCAGAATTCAAATAGCAACTCATGAGAAGACTCAGTCCTCTGTACTGTGCATCCACTTCTGTCCCGTCGGAAAGAGGTACCTAGTATGTATAGTACATTTACAGCTATATATACCTTGCTGGTTATTTTACATTTTGTTCTCTTTTTTATCCCCCATTCTTCCGCCTGTGTTTTTCCATGGTTGATCGTTTCATTTCTAGGATTTGTTGCATTTGTTCGTATCATCATTTTCTATGTGTTCTCCTCCACCTTCTGGGAAGGTTGTCGCAGATGGAGAGATCACAATACCCTGTTCAGCAAATTAATTTGACGTCCAACTCTTGTGTTAATAGTCTACAATCTTCATTTCTACCCACCCACAAACTATACTTTAACCCTCAGTATCATCGGTTTAGCCTCTGAACACGTTTTTCTTTTTTTTTTACAAAAAATAGAACCATACCCCCGGTGTCAGCTTCTTTCCCCCAAGGCAATATTCACTGCACATATTAGTTTTTCTTCTTTATATTCTTCTCCTGAGTAACTAGTGACACTGCATACATCTGTGGACTGCAATACCATTTTCTCAGCTGGAAAGCTAGGAAGAAGAGATGCACTTTAATGTCTGGAGAGTATATTGCCATATGTCGATGATTTTGATAGCTACGAAGGCCCATGGAAAAGTACAACAAAATAGGTATTAGGAAAGTAAAGGAAAATATTCTAGTCAAATCCTTCTTGTTCTAGTATACAATCAAAAGAAATGTACGGATGTGAGAAACACACTGCAAGTTCGTCTACCAAAATAACGATAATAACCTTGAATCTATGTTCCCATTCAAAGATAAATCCCTTACCCCTATACCTTATTCTTCTTCCCCTTCCTCCTTGACTTAGCATCTTTTAACTGTGCCGCAATCTTTCGCCTCTCCATCCTCCTTCTCCATGCCGCAAAGCGATCCTTCTTATTCCATTCAGGCACTCGAACCCCCGCACGCTCCGCCACGCGCCCAATCTGCCAATTGGCTACACGGTACATGTATCCAGGTCTAAGTGTAGGCGCAATTTCCGCCTCCTTAAGCGTCTTGTTAGCCTTCTCCTGTTCGATATCCCTTGGGACCGCCACCATACCAAGCCGTCTCTTGGTAATGGCGTTCCGGGGTAAGGGAAATTTGTCGGATTTGTCAAAGGCAACCCCGATATATTTGCGGTTAGGATGGCGCTCGGGATCCGTGTAGTATTTCACATAGCCCGTGGCGAGCGAGTAGATGGTGTGATCACGACCCATGCCGCAGTTTTCGCCGGGAAACCATTTGGAGCCACGTTGGCGGAAGATGATATTTCCGGGAATCACGAATTGGTCGCCCGATTTTTTTGCACCGAGACGCTTGCCTGGACCGTTTTTTGGGCCGTTGTTTGCGCGGCCTTGGCTAGCATGGGAGGCATAACGCACTTGAAGCTGGGATCGGAGGATGGTCGGGCAGGATTGGGGTTGGGAATGTCGTCGTTGTTGGAGGACGGAGGAAATGGACATGGAAGGGCAAAAAAGGGTCGAACTACTGGCGTTGCTAGCCGTCTTCCGTGAGAGATGTGATAGTGATCGCGTTGTTTGTTGAGTGGAAAGGAACGATGTGGATGGGGTGAAGAGGAAATCGAGAACCCGCAATGGGGCATTGAATCGAGGTTGGATCATGATATTATAAAAATGGATCGAGATCAGATAGAACCATGTGTATCTCTCCCCGCAGTCCCGATCTCGAGGCGGCGTGGGTGTTGCAGTTGGCGCTGCTGGTATATTATCAACTTTTTCGGAGTTGGGTTAATTCCCACGTGACTTTGGGATGACCAACCTACAATCTAGTTAGGAGTTTGAGGACAGCTTTCAGTCTATACAGACCACAAAATAGCAACTGCAAAATGGTCCGCATATTCACAAGTATCCTTTTGGGTTTGCTGTTGCTTGTGACGGGCACTCGATCCCAGTTTCAATTCTTCGAACAAATGTTTGGTGGCGGACAACAACAGCAGCACGATTCCAGAGAACAAAACGTTCCAAGCGACAGCGACTGGTACCAACGAACTTATGACAATGGTATATCGCATTTAGTATATATATACGAATTCATTTTTCTTTTCTTTTCTAGATCAGAATGCTAACCGCGGCCTCTGCTCAGCACGATGTTCGAACTATCTCTGTCCCGGCACTCTGGCTTGCGTCGCTGTTCCACACCATTGTCCATGCCAACACCCAGCCGTCGAAGATAAGTTTGAACTAGGTGACGGAAGCGCAATATGTGTGTCGAAGGGCGGATTCAAGTTTGGCGAAGCGGCTAGGAAAGTCGAGCTGGCCAGAAAAGGATTACTGTGAATTCAATATTCGGTACTCAAACGCGATGCGATTATATACCCTGCTCATGCGATTTGCTACGCATTTCGCTCTCCATCTTTGGCGCTACATATTTTCAATTACGACTGCATAGAGCGTGACGAGGATTTTGCATGTTGGTCGACGATATTTTGCAGTTATTATATTTGCATTTCCCGCGCTCACAGCGGCAGGTTTCTTTTATTGCAGAATATCTGGCCGGGGAAATAACTGAAACAAACGGCTATGTGTGCAATGGCAATTAGGAGTTATTTCCACTGATTATGAATTAGTAAAATTAGATTTGCCAATTGGCTTTTCGCTGAAGTGCTATGCGCTTCTATGTAATTACATAGGGTTCCAAAAGCTTGTTTACACTTGAGGTTCCCCATCAAAATGTGAAATCTGCCACTTTTTCCACCTCTAATTCCTTCAATGTGTCCATTTGGCATTGAAATTACTGAAAAATTGAAGATCAAATTAAGAATTATCAGAATTCTTATGTGTTTATTTTGTTCTGTCTATAAACAAAGAGAAAAGCCAGTTATCACTCTTGATAATGTCATATATCAAACTGTCTACAATACAATCAATTGTGTACAATCTATCAAGATCTTCAATTCTTGTCTCTGAAGTGATTATTCTTGAAAGCTTAATTTTCATGAGCAAAGATACATTTTTTATTTAATATAAAAAAGCTTGTAAGAAATCCCGCTGCTTGGGGATTCTTTCCCACTATTCCTGCCTCTCATACTAGGGCAGCCCCAATCACTCCCCTTCTGGGGGTGGGCAAATGAACCTCTAATTCCCAGAGATGAAGGCATCTTTAATTTCTTCAAAGGGTTGGAAAGCTCAGGCATGACACTCTATAGCAGGAGCTTCATGAAACATGCAGCTGGGGCAGGACGGAGTGAAAGTGCGAAGTCATTCATTATGTTGCTATTAAACAATATCATCGCAGATATCATTGGTATATATCATCGCTAGATATCATCAATAGATATCATCGGTGGATATCATTCATTCAAGCAGGTCAGTAGATAGATAGTCAGCTAGTAAGCTAGCATTGATGGGTAGGTGGGTAGCTAGATGGTGATGTTGATTCTCATAGAGATTGGTTGGATATTGAGCAGGCAGGTTGGTTGGTAGGTAGGGAGGCAGTTAGGTAGCTAGCTATTATCTAGCTAGCATTTTCTATTCTATTAGCAATCGATCGGATATCGAGCAGACAGGTAGGCAGGTAGGCAGGTAGGCAGATAATTCAGGGGTAAGAATAGGGGGTATTTCGCAGCTGGAGATTATAGATGCAAAAATCTCCTCTAAACTCATGCAGATTCAAGCCATATTATTGCACACATTGATATCCAATCATTTCAGCCACAAAAATGAAGCAACTTTTGTTCCCCCCTCAGAGCTTTGTGTCATTCTTAGAGACTTCGCTTCGCTCCGTCTAATAATTGTTGAGATATTCAATTATTTGTAAAGCGTAAACAGACTCTTGAACCCTAGGTGTACGATTGACATCAGGTTATCCGCCGCTGGCAGTGCCAAGACACAACAACATCTTCAGCATCTTGTTCTCGTTATCTTCGTTCTTAAACTACTGGTAGAACCTAAAACATTCAACACGATATCTCTTCGATATTCATCCCTATTACTATGCTGCTGCTCGCTTTGCTACCATGTTTTGCTGGCGATCGAAGCTACCCACCCCACGCCCCATGTTAAATACCAGGGCGGCATCTTTAAGATCACACCCTTGGACAAGGAAGAACTTGAACTCACGAATCACTCCTCTCCGCCGGAAGGCGCTGAACGTCCCTGGTCGACGAAATCCACCCCCTCCTCCATCCCATGGAGACTTGACAAAAAATGCGCAATCTGGACCTGAAAATGCCAGCGCCGCGCCAGCACAAGAATCGGTTTCCGCGACTCTGCGGAATACCAACCCAGAAGATAATACACTTCTCGCACCCGTTCACATTCCAGAAGATCCAAATGCAGTTCTCAAGGAAAATCACCCGGCCGCGGGGCTCCTGGCAAACTCCGGCTTGGTTGTTCAGAGGCAGTTAGAGATGATGAATGTGCTTCTGTACGTCAACAATTTTAACGCTCACTGATACCTTCTCTACTAGGGGCGACGCATGCTGATGTGATACAGTGGTTTCGAACAAGCGAATCGGTACACCATACTGGATGCGCAAGGGAACCATGTTGGTTACATAGCTGAGCGGGACAATGGAATGGGCAGTATGCTCGCTCGTCAGTGGCTTCGAACACATCGCTCGTTTGTCACTCATGTCTTCGATAAACATCAAAATGAAGTCCTACGTGTATGTGGATTGCCTTGAGAATGAATGCGTATATTGGTTTTTCTAACTATTATCACCAGTTCCACCGGCCCTTCGTCTGGGTCAACAGTCGAATCCGAGTCTACGACCCGCTAAACCTAGCCTCTTCGTCACATTCATCTTCAGCAGCTGTGCAAACCAACGGTTCGTGGCCCCTTATTAAACCTTTCGAAGGCGATTCCACACGAATATCCTCCCTCGACCTCGCAGATATGCGCGTGATTGGCGAAACACATTCCCAGTGGGCTCTCCTGCGACGGAAATACAATCTCTTCCTCCTGCATCCAAATCCAACTCCGGAAACCAATCTCCTCACAAAACGAGTTCCTTTATCTCATGCACATCTTTCCAAATCTCAACAATTACAAGTTGCCAGCACCTATGAACCCGGAACATCCGGCGAGTTCGGCCAGTTTGCCTACGTCGACGAACCATTCCTGTCATGGGATTTCTCTCTCCGATCCGCAGATTCACGGCTGATAGGATCCGTCAACCGCAACTTCGTCGGCTTCGCTCGGGAATTATTTACGGATACTGGTATGTATGCGCTGCGGATGGACGCTGCGGCTCTAGCGGAAGAACGAGAAAAGGGACACGTCATTTCCCAGACGCATAGAGAATCACACCCCTTGTATGATAGCAGCGACAAAAGCGGGATGACCCTGGATCAACGGGCCGTCATGCTTGCCACTGCCGTTACAATTGACTTCGATTATTTCAGCCGCCATAGCTCTTCTGGTGGGTTTTGGCCCGTTCCATTTTTCGGCTCGAGTGGGGCACCAGTTGAAGGAGGTGCAGCTGGAGGTGCTATTGAAGGTGCTGCTGCGGAAGGTGCTGCAGGCGCTATTGGGAGAGGTGTCGCTGGGGCCGGAACAATTGCTGGATACGAAGCTATGCAAAGACGTGCATCTACTGATAATAATCAGCAGCAGCCACGTGAAGAACAGCAATCGGAAGAATACCCCCCACCACAGCAAGGGGACTACCAGGATGAAGAGGTATGGGGAGATAATGGACAAGATTGGTGGAATAGAGACGGTGAAGGCTCGCCTGGTGCCAATGGAGGAAACGGAGTTTGGGGTCAGGAAGGTGGAGGTGGTGGCGATGGCGATGGCGATGGCGATGAATGGGATGATTTCTTCTGAATCTATTATGCTGCACCCGACGGATTTTGTATATAATGTTTGGCTTTTTATATATCCCCTTTAGATATCATTTTTTTTAGAGCGGCACACTGGTGCGGGTGGAAACCGAATCTAAAGATCAGACTATGTATGTACCAAGTATATACCAATATTTCTCTCCATATCTTTTGTCGTTAGATTTTACTGTTATATAATGTTGCTGGTTGCAATCCTAGCTTAATACGAGCGAATGATTCACGTTGATATATCCTAGTATGTATATTTTTTTTCGTCGGTCATTATTGCCCTATATGTCTGGCTAGTGATTGTTGTCCGCCCAGAAATGTCCCGGACGAGGAAATACGTCCAACCTGACAGCAAATAGCCACATCTTAGCTCTATTGACTAGAACCTGCACAACGTATACTGGCTCTCGTATACTCTCGTTTTCTCTTTCTGGATACCCCCGAAATACCCAATATAACGTTTTGTCCCAAGGCAATCTTTCCAGCACCTCTCGCAGAAAACCCGCTCACCTCAAAACGCCAACCGCCAACCCACCAGAACACCACATCCCAGCATTTCCAAATCGAACTCTTTCCGCACACCCACTCAAAGGGCCTAAGAGGCGCATCACGAAAGTATACGATAATGGCAACCTCTGTCGCCCAAAAGCGACTTTTCTACGAATACAAGCTCCTCTCCACAAATCCACCAGACGGCATAACCGCCGGTCCCGTCAACGAAGATGACATGTTCCACTGGGAGGCGCTGATCCAGGGCCCTGAGGGCACACCTTTTGAAGGCGGCGTGTTTGCTGCTGAGCTCAAGTTCCCCAAGGATTATCCGCTCAGTCCGCCCACGATGAAATTTCTGGGCGGCGGGGTTTGGCATCCGAATGGTATGTAATAGCAAATAATAACAAACAAGAGTGATAATAGACAGTGGTCTATCAGTTTCACTGCTTGTATAATGATGCTGCGCAGCGAGCACCGGATAAGATATTACAATGGACTTTATTGTACTGTACAAAATGACTGACTATGTTCTCTCTTCCTCCCTGGCTTATTTGCAGTGTATCCCAACGGCGCTGTATGCATCTCCATCCTACATCCCCCAGGAGACGACCCGAACCACTACGAGCACGCCTCAGAGCGCTGGAGCCCCATCCAATCCGTCGAGAAGATTCTTATTTCGGTCATGAGTATGCTTGCGGAGCCGAACGATGAGAGTCCGGCGAATGTGGAGGCAGCGAAGATGTGGCGGGATAAGAGGGACGAGTATGAAAAGAGGGTTCGTAGTGAGGTTAGAAGGAGTTTAGGGCTTTGAGTTTTTAATAGGGGCACGCGGCTGGGAATACGCTGAAGGATCAAGGACTGGATGGGGTGGTTTTATATAGTAAGTAATTTTGGCTCTTTTGTCTTTTTCTTCTGAGGGGAGCGCTGGATGGTTGGTGATATTGGTTTTCTTTGATATGATTTGTTTTTATTTTTTGGTTTTTTTATAGGAGTTTGTTTCATCGGGCGTTCATTTTAGGGATTGGATTTGTTCTTATGAAGCGTTATGGTAAACTCATGTCTATAGCAACTGTTCGTTTTTTCCCTACTTCTCTCATGAAATTCATGGTAGTGCGCTTAGACCAGTTCATGAACAACGGCAGAAGCAACTCCATCTCTAGAGACCGTTTTCTAGAGACCGTTTGAGATGCACTCAGACCAATGTCTGCAGCTTATGGTCTAGCCATGTCTCAATGCCCCCTTCCCGTTCGTACAACATCTCAATCTCCGCCTTCACATTGGTCATAAGCATATGCTGCAGCTCCCACCTCCAGGCCGGTTCCGGCCCATCCTCTGCGAAAACCGGGCTCCGCCCTAACATGTCCTGGGCCTTCTTCCTATCCCTCGAAGTCAGCGGTATTAGAGCATCATCGCCCTGTATTTCAAGACTTGAAGGAACTAGTTCTGACGCCTGCAGACCGAGCCACTGCACATTATGGACTGCAAGATTGGTGTTATCATGTGCTTGCGCTCTTGAACCGTATTTATAGGTTGACATGATAGCCATGCCGTCTGGGTCACCATCCACAAGCATGAATATAGGAGGTTGACGGAATGGCAGTGCTCCTGATGCTGATGGTGGGACTCGGGATAATAAATGGAGAAACGCACGGGTGCTGATGTCTGGATACCCCTTCCCCTGGACATCGTTTCGATATCAGATTACCCACGGTTGATTGAGGAGAAAAATATGGAATTCTAGGGTTTTATATCCTACCGTGATAAGAATTCCTGATCCTGCAGCAGATGTTGTATGGTAGTTGACCGTGGCCAAACGGTGGAATGTGGCCTTCCATGTGCCATTTGTTAGTAGCAGAACTAGCTTGGAAGCTTGTGGCCTGAGCTGCATAACGGATTTCAAGTTGTAAATTTACCTCTTTCTCAATCACCAGGATCCATCTAATAGTTGAGGTATCGATTTTCTTAACCGTTTCGACCCGGGGAACGAGCATACCCTGTATACATGTCAATATAACAAATGGGAAAGAGTCCGGCAGGAGTAGCAAAGAAACCTCAGCATGAACGGCCACATCGATCATGAAATCGTCATTTAGTGTGACATTGAAGGTTCCAACCACAACCCCCTTTGCTGCTGCTGCCTTTTTACAACAAGTTAGAAAGAATATCTTGGCGTCTGCGAGATAATGAGATATTCCAGTTCACAGTACCACGTGTAATGCTGTCCTGTCGACACCAATTGTACAAGCAATGTCGTCGATGCATCGATCCACCACACTCTGGGACCCAAAGTACACCGGGTCAAGATAATAGATATCCCGCTTCGAGCTAATGAAGTCGCCTCGGATGGCCTCTGATATATGGCCAAGGATCCGCAAGAGAACCGCTGGGTGATACGAAAGGAATGAAATATTAAACCCGTGAAAATATGTGAACAGAGCACAGCATCGGGTCGGGAGAAACGTACCAAAGCGCCAGGCCTCCTGTGCAGTTTTACCTGGCCATGAATAAGTGCATGAAGGTTCGGTAGTGTCACGTTGCAAAGCTCCTGTTTCCGGATTCAGCGAGAAGTGGGAATGATTCGAGCGTCGTTTTAGAGTGATTGATGGGCATCCGTCAACTCTCATTAGCTCATCGATGAGCGAATCCAGGAGCTGTGAAACAAAATTGCGAACTTTGTCCTCTGGGATTCCATTTTCATTACCAGGGCACGTGTTAGTGCTTTGGCAAGGGACGTTGGGGGGCGTGCTCAAGGTTGGTGCCTCCGACATCACTTGGATAAAACGATATATATTTAGATATGTTCGTGGAATCGGGAGATATCACTTGACCTCATCAAAATAGAAGATGTTTAGATGATTTGCTCAGAATTGTAGAAGATGGACAGTCCAGGTATTGCTAACAGACTAAAGCATTAGGAATGGGATGCAAGGATAGTGGCACCTCCTGGAGGGGAGTAAATGGACATATCTCCTAACAATTCAGTATACAGGTATAGCAAATTGGCCAATCATAGTAGGTCCCTCAAGGTAAAAGAGAGTATGGCCTCTTAAGAAACGTGGTGATCTGAGTGAAGATTTCGAGATGAGGTTGCTGTTGACTGATATTGTGGCGGATGTAAAGCTTGCGAAAACAGAATTTTCTGCCACTCCCTGAAAAGTCGTAGCAAAACACCGCAGAAATAACCAAAATATCTACATATCTCTAGAATCATTCAAATATCATCCAATTTATTCAAAATACACATCTTTATCATCAAATACACATCTTTATCATCAAATCTGTTAAAATGCTGCACAACACCCACTGTTCTGCTGTTCTATAATTTTGTAAATGAATTTCAAATACTTTGTATCTTCATCAGCTCAAATCATCTGTTTCAGATGTTCTGAATAATGATGAGAATTCAGTTGATGATGAGAAAAAGAAAAGGAAGAAGAAGAAAAAAAAAAAAAAAATGAGAAAAAGAAAAAAATACAATCAGAAAATTTTCAATTTTTATGAATATTTACTTTCAAATTTGAAATTTCATTCAAGCTGTATGAACAGATGATTATTATAAAAATCAAATTATAAAATGTTATAATAAAGAATATAATTATCAACTTCTATTATATTCAATATACTGTAAAAAGAATAGCTGAAGAATATATTATAAAATAAAACTGTAAGAAGATAAAAATTACAAATTGTATAACAATTATCTCATCAAATAAATATAAATCTTCAATTAAAATCATGTTTAAAAAAAAGACAAATTGAATAGAGATTATCACTCTTCTGAAGAGGTTATATAAAGAGAAAATGAGTGAATTTAACATTGAAATTATCATCTCTTTTAATTTTATTAATATTTCAATTTTATTTTTAAACATTTCTATAATACACAGTTCTGCAGCTTTCATTGACTATGTATAGTGCTGTGGCGTTCCGCCCCTAGTCTCCCTTCCGCCCTGCTCCTTCCACCCCTGCATTATTATTCCTCTTATTCTTCCCGTATGCTGCGATCGCTCCTTCCTCTGGATTGGATCGCTGACGGGATGACTACGTATATATATAGGGGCGTTCGCCCACCCTTCTAGATTAGAGAAACTCAGACATGAATTATCCTACCAATTGAACGGCGTACGCCATAAGTGCTGTTATTTTAACAAAGAAAAATAAAGAATTAAGAGATGCAAATGAAAAGCAAAAGAGAAAATGAGAGAAAGATTATATATATATAATTTAGAAAAATGTTTTAAAAGTTAAAGAAGGAATAAATCATACATGAAGTGTTAACGAAAAGAAAAAAAAGAATAATGATTTTTGACTTTCAATTATTAAAACATACAGCATCTTGATGTAATAGATGTGATACTATTGAACATACTGCTTATATATATAAAAGCAGATTTGTAAATAATTCTTAATATAATTAATCTATTTTTCTTACATGTTTGTTGTTATATTTGATTATAAAGATACAAAATGATGAAAAGTGGCCGACTCACTTGTATGGCCGACTCGCTTGTGTGGCTGACTCATTTGTGAATTATGTTACACTTTGCATTTATATAATCTTTAACAATTTTTTTTTTCTGTGTAATCTTTTCTGCTTCATACTCTGTACTTGTATAGTTCTAATGATTTTTCTGTGTAATTTTTAATATTTTTTTATTTCATATTTCACTGTGAAGCAGCTTCTGATATTTTTCTGCTTTGATTTTTTTTTTATAAAAACCCTTTTCATACAACCTTTTCTTTTGATCTCTTTTCTCTTTGTTTTCTTAATCAATTCATAACCTGTATTTAGAATAGTGCTAGATTGTTAATTGAAGTACACTCATTACATAAGTGGCCACAGATTCAATTTATATCAAATAGAATTGATAAATTAATAGATTTTATAAATGATAATTGCAATAATTAATCACTTTTTTTCATATCAAATTTAGTTTCTTCAACAATCTAGATATTAATTAAGCATGAATATCAACATCAAATTCATTTTTCACAAGGCAGACAATTTCATCACAATATATAATTGAATATATCTTAAAAAAATCCTTTAAATCTGATAAAATATTAAATGTGATTTTTAATTTTATATCTTTTGTTGAATGAAAACTTCTAGCAGTTTCAAAGCAGTGAATATTTTGTTAAATTCAATATACAGTGATCAGATAACATTTAATGATCCACACAATCTGAGCAGATATATAATCATTGTTTAGATGATGTACAATCTCATTGATGATAAATTCACTGAGCTGAAGGAACATTTTAACAGATTTGATGATAAATGTGTGTATTTTGAATAAATTGAATGATATTTGAATGATTCTAAAGATACATGGTTATTTTGGTTATTCTCTGCCGTGTTTTGCTACTACTTTTCAAGGGGTGGCAGAAAATTCTGTTTTCGCAAGCTTTACGTCCGCCACAATATTTATACTGACTGC